TTAAAACTTTGGTAATCAGTGTCTATTACTGCATAAGACAAGGTCAATCACATAGTGACTGTTGTGCAGATCAGAATATATAATTTCTAATCTTTATTTGGTATTTATTAATGATGTTTCATTCAGTGTAAAACAAAGCATGAAAAATATTGCATGCTATATGAAGTATAGTACCCTGATCTGATTAAAAAGTTCTGAACCCCAAATTAAATTTTCTAATGCTTCAATCCTAGAACCTTGTAACCTTTTTATCACAGATAGTTCTCAACTTACAACAATTCATTTAGTCACAGTTCAAACTTACAGTGGCACTGAAAAGTGACTTATGACCATTTTTCATACTTAAAATCATTGCAACATCTCCGTGGTCACGTGATCAAATTAGGATGCTTGGCAATTGGTTCATATTTATGATAGTTGCAATGTCCTGGGATCATGTGATCACCTTTTGCAACCTTCTGACAAGTAAAATCAATGAGAAAGCCAGATTCATTTAACAACCTTACTACTAGCTTAACAATAGCAGTGATTCACTTAACAACTTTGGCAAGAATGTCTCACTTAACAGCAGAAATTTTGGGCTCAATTATGGCTGTAAGTCCAGGACTACCTGTATTGCTAGATTCAGATTAATTTTTTTATATACAGAACAAATATTGGTATCAAATGGAATTACACGGAACCAAATAGCCTGAACAATATCCAAGAAACAGATTATGTTGGGTATTCTGGTTTTTTTCTCATGGAATCCAACATAATTATTTAAAGTCAGCTATTGCAAAATAAATTTTACACGTTAGGAGGAGACTATTTAGATTTATATTTTGAATTACTAATTATATTGCACCAACTCCAAGTATTCTGTTTTCTGAATTTCTCTGACCTTGGCTATTTGCTTGCAGACATTTTGTTACATTACTAGATAACATCTTCAGTTCTAGAATAAGTGGAATTTACTCTATTTATATACAGTAGTTTTCATACCATTCAAAAGAGGCAATAAAAAAGCAAAAAAAAGAATCAAAAAGACCAGAATACCTCCTCAGTAACAAGCAGCAGGGATAAACACCAGGATTAAAATCAGACAAACAATCAAGCAATAAAAAATACCCTAATCAAGGAACTACCAACTCAGTCAGTTGGTAGCCTAATCAAAGAACTACAAGGGGAAAAAAACAATACTGCCACCAACACTGATCTGGTAAGCTTCTGTATATAAACAGAGAAACTCTATTCCATTCTAGCACTGAAGATGTTACCTTCTAGAATGACATGTCCGCAAACAACTAAGCTCAGAGAGCATCAAGGACTCCACAGTTCAATCCTGAACTATGGAAGTCTCCTCTGTTGAAATCAGTCCTTTTCATTCATGGACCTTTTGTGCATTTTTGACAGATTTCGTTTCTATATTATTTTATAGAACAACATAGTTCTTTTTTTAAAAACAATGAGGCATATTTCTACAACATGCAGGATTTTTCTTGGTTTTTGATGGGTAATTTAAACACAAAGTGTAATGCTATCCCTTAAATAATTTACACAGGTACAATTATGTTTCAGAACTTTCCAAATGTGGTTTCCTCCGAATGTGTTAGAGTCCCATAATTCTTCAATGATACAATCATGAATGTTTGAATAGGAGATAAAATACTGCACATCTGGGTGGTGACTGTTTATATATAGGAAGCATCAAGAACTCACTGTTATGGTACCAATAGAGTATTTGTAGCTCAGGGTTGGAAGGAGAGGGTCCTTGATGCTTTCTGAGCATGGTTGCTTTCTTGCAGATGTTTCATTACCCAAACTAGGTAACATCATCAATAGTAGTAAGTTAGCCTTACTAGCACTCTTACTAGCATTGATGATGTTACCTAATTACTAATACCTAAATGGGCATGGATGAATAAACACCAGCCAGTTGTAGTAGTCTGGATTTATCAAGAGATAGGAGGTAAATTAAATTGGTGACTGTTTTATATAAAGTTCTGAAGGTGCTATTTGGAAAGATCCATAGAAGGAACTGAGGAATCAAGACAGCTGAAAGACATATATTTCATTCAAGATTTCAAGATGCTTAAAATAATTCCTGATGTTAATCTTAGGTCAGTACCCTCCTCCCCCCAATCTACACAAGATGACCCTTTTACAGAAGAACAGCCGGGACAAAAAAATTGCTAGAGTTAATTTCCACTTAACTCACGCAGAAAATGTTTGATACTTCCAAGGTTGCTAGAAGCATTTTCCAAAGCACTATGTGTTCATCTTTTGGGCTCAATGGATTTTTGTCTACACCACATCAAGCTGGAAATTTTGTTTTTCTAAAGTTTTTTAGAATTCTATCAGATACTTGTATAGAAAGTTTATTCAATATTTCTTAACAACATAACTTTTGAGATTAGAATCTTTAATATCAGTCACTTCATAAAATAAGCATGATTCTTTATGTGCATACAACTCTGTGTACATAGGATTTTTTTTCATCTATGCAGTTGTGCTTAAAAACAGTATGTAAACTGCTAACCTAAATAGTTTAGAAATTAAAAATAATTGGCCTGATAGGGAAATTTTGGACATTTTTTTATTTTCTGGGTTATTAAAAGTATTCACTTTTCTTTTCCTTTCAGAAACAATTTAAATATATGTAGAATTAAAAAGAACAAGAGCTAAAGTAGAAAGACCATCTTGCAGTCTACATAATTTTAATAAGGCATTTATAATTCATAAAACAACCAGACAAGCCAGATATATTGCATATTATATAGACATTTGTATATAAATTTATATAAATTATGTTTGTGCTTTTAGATATATATACCTTCTAAAATAGGGGAAAACAAAATTCTGTCTATTTTGTTACTTTACTGTCATTCTAGTTTTGTTCAGTCTTTAGGTATGATCCACACTTTCGCAGAGCAATTTTTTTTTGAGTTGCTCCACAGAGGAAGGAATGGGTGGACATTTTTAAGAATAACTCCATTTTTATTCTTATATTATTCCCTACATTGTTTTAGAACAATTTAAAACAATGTATGGGAACAGAGAGGGTGAAAAACTATAAGGTAGAGAGTATAAAAATAATTTGTCCTCTTCCTTCTTCCAGCAGCCTCTGTTATTTCCTGGAGTTAATCATAACTGAATCCAGGCTTACGTTATTTTGTTTTGAAAGAGCTGAATTACTATTTCTCTTTGCTGGTATCAAGAAAATGTTTCTTCTGTTGTAAGAACTTTGAAATCTTGCAGCAGCCAGTAAGATGGAACTATAGGGTACAATTTCTATACAAGTACTATCAAGATGATTGGGTTTTGTGCTTTTGGACATGACTGTTTGCACGTGAATAGCCCAATCAGAAGACCTGTAGGTATTCTGGCATCTACATGATGCTTCTAAGTTCTACCATTCATGTAGGCCACATTACAATAGAAATAAGAATACTTTTGCTTTTGCACTCTGAAGATAAGGAGCAACTAGATATTTGGGGATACGGTGCAGGGAATCATTATTTTACTTACAGTATGTGCCATGGATACCAAAAGAACTTAAATAATTAAGGGCTTTACTGTGAAATGAATATTGAATATGTGACATGAATTAATTTAGATTGCTTACTAAAGAGATATATTTTTTCTTTATATAAATGTAATATCTGACTTTATAGCTATTTATGACAACAAAACAAAATTTCTTGATACAAAATAGTATCAAATATTGATCAGCTGGTTTATAAGTTAAATATAATTTCTGTTAATTCAATACAATGATAACTTAAAATTATATTTTAAGACTACTTAATTAAATTTAAGAAACTCCATATTTACACTATGGTATTAATTGAGAACTTGCATTAAAACAGAATTTCCTAGAATCCTATTTTTAAAAATATACATTTTTAAAAAAATTAAAATAATATATTATGTTGTTGCTTATGGAAGATTTGTGTTCTTCTCTATTCAAGTTGTGCTTAACTATAAAGATCAAAACAGTACCAAAGAGGCAAATGATTCTAATTGATACTGATAAAATAAAAATAAATATTTAGAATATTCTCACATCCTAGCACATTTTGTATATTCTCCACATTAATATTAGTGATGTTGTATTAGGATAAAATATATTAATGACCACAATAGCATTAACATAAGAAAACAAGAAACAGATGTAAATCTTATTGAAATGAAGACTCAAGAATTTTTTTCTATCTGTCTATCATAGAAAGCCCATATTCATTTCAGTCTGGTTGGTATCTTTGTGGTGTAATCATTAAATGGTATTTGCTTTAAATAAAATATTGTTAAATGATAGCAGGATGATTTTTTAGCTCTAAAAATGTACTCTTTTTTCTTTTTTATATAAATATTAGGGACTATATACAATAAATTAAAAATATATAATTTCAAAATTAAGATTAGAGATAACGAATCACAACTTTACATGCATTTAGGCAAAATATGGGAAAGATTCAGCCAAAATTAAGGTGATTTAAAGTTCTATTAATATATTTTGCTCTTACATGGGCTCAGAGTGATCAGTGGGCTGTCATCCAAGCCACTGATCAGATCTACCTCAGTTTAATTTCAGAATCAGTGCTTTCAAATGTTTAGCTGGATTCGAAGTCCCATTAATTTCAATGGGAAATATTTAAGCATATGCTTATTAAACCTACTGAAATCAGTGAGTCTTAAATATGCCTAACATAGGCTGAATTGTGCCTGTATTCACAGCAGTATATACTGCAATATTTTGTACATGGGGATCAGTTATTTAAAATTAAAACCAACAAAAACACAAAGCCATGACCTACATAGGGTTGTTACACATGCAGACACAGGTTTTGCACATCATTTCGTCAGCTGAATGAGTAGTCCAACATGCAACTATATTCTGCGTATACAGCTTTCCTCCTTATCAACCAGCTGGGGTGAACATGTTAAGTCCTTTCAAATCTACGAAAATCCCACAAATCAGCTCTTTCCTTTTGTCACCAAACAGCTGACTAGAAGTTTATTTTATTGTATGAAAAGAGTCTGTGCATACTCCTTTGAATCAAGGTAGAAGCTTATTTGAATGATACATATACCTGAAGAGACATTCAAAGCAAAACATAATCATATGTATATTTAGATTTTTTTTTAAAAAAATGGAAATAAATTAACATGATTTACAAATCTTTGTACAGATGATTAAATTAAAAAAAATGGCAAGCATTTTCACTTGAAATTGGCATAATCAGAAAAAATATCAATGAAATCTTGTACCACTTTGTAGCAGAATTCATACTGTTCCTGCAGATGCAAAAAAGAGACATTGTTACGTTTAAACTCTGTTGAATTGTATTTAACTTCAAAAATTAACTGTAGAATCATAATAAAATATCATACAGATAAAATGTTTTTCACCTTTTGTTACACGTTGCAGCACAATTATCTATCCAGTGACACTGCCTAGATTAAGACTACTATACTGTATGTAAAACAATGAACAAAACAATTATTTCCTTTGAAGAACTATTTGAATAAGAAATGAATCCTGGTACTTTTGTATGTTTTCATTAATATGAATGCATTTTCAGTTTACTGACCTACATATGAGCCTATTAATACAAATTCACTACTCTAGAACATGTTTTCATAGAACAAACAAAAGACCAGTTCTAATTTTTGCTGATTAGATATTTTCATTTTTTGCCTTTCTCTTTCTTTTCTATGCTCTTATTCATAACTGGCTTTCAGCTCTGTTTAGAGCAGGCATGTGAAACTCACGATGTCATGTGACATCACGCGACATATCATGACTTTTCCCCCATTGACGGCAATGGGATGGGTGCGGTTTTGATGTGATACATCTGGCTCACGGGCCGGCAGTTTGACATGCCTGGTTTAGAGCATGCCAACAAAATAAGGGGACCTGAAATTGTATCCTAACATTACCTTTAGACATCCTATAACCGGGTACTTTTACCATTGGGGAGGAATTTTGAAAGTAAATTATACATGTACTCCTCAACATACTATGACAATTGGGAAGCTCTGTCGCTAAATGATATGGTCCTAATGTATGACAGCATTGCTTAGCAATCCCTGCAGTTACACTTGCCATCATCAATTGAGTCCCACAGTCACTACACTTTAGCAAAGCAATTCTATTGTGTGATATGGACAGAGCCTCTGTTTTGCTCCCAAAATATTAGTGCTATATTATATTATTAGTGCTATATTATCAATTGCGGTGAAGCAACATACCAGTGTTTGCACCATATGTGGTCTTTGCAGCCGTAAGCTCTTCACAGCTTGAAATACATCTAAGAGCCCCTCAGCTTTGACTCGCTCCAAAATATTGCTGAGTGCTATGAATGTACCTGTTCTTCCAGCTCCGGCACTACAAAGACAAAGACAAATACCGTAGGCAGAGAAATAAAATATACATGTCAAATTGAGTCTCTGCTAATGTAAATAGGCTTAGTAGCCTCTATAGTTCTTTGCTTCTTCAGGAGTACCAGCTATGGCGTTCATTTTGCAAATTTGCTCATTCATATATAGCTTTTATAAAATCTTCACGTTACCATAAAAATACGTTTTTTAAAAAATTTAAACTTTAAAACTATTCAGACAGTGAATGCTGATTTTGAAGTTACTTCCTTATATACAAAGTTTCCTCTGGAACAGATTTATCCACCCACCAAGATCCAGAGGAAGTTTCCACTTGCAAAATGGGAAGAGATAGTTATTTCAGTATTAATTGAGAGGATTCTTCAACTTTGTAGAACTATATAGGATTAGGAATTGGGATCTTTCACAAAAGTTTGGGGGGGAAAAAACCAACTTCACACACTTCTTGAATTGTGTCTCAATTTAGCTTGTATAAACTGCTATGATGGAATGTTTAGTAGATCCTAGGAAGATGGAGAGGGAACGAAGACTGTCACAAATAGAAATCCTTCATCCAGGGGAAAGGTAAGCATGAGAAAGAGGCTCAGAATAGCTCCACCTTATTTACATTACATATAACTGAATTGGAGAATTGCTTTGGCAAGCTTTCAAGATTCTGTTATATTACAGTACTTTGTTATCAATAAAGAATGTTTCCATTCTCTATTTCAATATTGGTAATTTATGAGCCTAAAGCAAGGCATGAATTATAATTATAGTGAACAAGATTAAATGAAACACCTCTTCAGGAATCTGAACAATTTATCCAGTAGAACCAAAGGGATATTAAAGATTTGTTAACAAAGTCAATTTTCAAATTCATCTGGAGTAAGGTATCCATCGCAGAATCCATTATAGAAACATATGTTAAGACAACTATAGAACTGTGGAGTGCTACACCACTACACCATGTGCATTCCATGCTGTGATAGCATGATATATACTATGATAGCTCTTTTTCTACAATTCACTCCTTTCATTTCTGACCAGCAATAGCAGCTTGTGGGGTCAGCTATCCATGCTCTAGTAACCTCTAGATCAGGCATGTCAAACTGCCGGCCCATGGGTCAGATGCATCATGCCGAAACCGCGCCCACCCCATTGCCGGCAATGGGGAAAAAGTCATGATATGTCGCACGACATCATGTGACGTCGTGAGTTTGACATGCCTGCTCTAGATTACTCTATTTTAATATGGTTCATGTGAGACCACCTCTGGGAAAAAATTGGAAATTAGAAGTTGATCACAAAGTAGGAACCAGACTTGAGATCAGAAGTTCCATTACATTGTGCTGTTTTGTTAAGTCCATTGACTCTCTTCTCAGTTTTTAGGACCAATTCACTGGTGGTTATTTTTATCTCAATGGTCTTTTAGGGCTTGGGACCAGATTATCTGAAGCATCATCAGTTTGTATATACACTTGCCATTATGCTCATCCTCATCACTGGCCAATTCACCTGCTTCCCTGCTGTAAATAAATGGCAGCTTCCTGATTGTGAAATTTCTTTCATGTACCTACTGCCTCTGCTTCAGAGTGAAAGTCCTTGCGAGCTTTTCAAATTTAAAGCTGCAAAAGAATGGGGGGGGGGGGAATGTAAGAAAGTGTTTACCTGCAGTGTACTGTAATGGGATGGTTTCCTGTCTGCTGTTGCTGTTTCTGAACAGCTGCAATGAGGTCAATCATACCTTTCCCTTCAGTCGGAATGCCTATCTCAGGCCATCCATGAAAATGAAACTGTCGAATAACTCTGCCTTGCTTCTCCTAGTTATTCAGAAGTGAGAAAGCCACAAGTTTAAGATAATTTTAGTAATGGAAAGAAATACTTTTAAATACCAAAGTCTCACCCACTTTTCTGGAAGTAATTCCATCAGACATAGCAGGACTTACTTCTAAATAGATTCATAAAAGCTTTCAGAATCTATTACATATTGCAACCTTTCTATAAGCAGTGCCAAAAATTATGTAGTTTGTATCAACTACTATGTTTTTACCTTAACTGGCCAATGTAATATTAGAAAATAGATTTAAAAATACCATATACAGTATATGTATATGGTCTATATGATATACACATACACACATAATATGTGCTTGTAGTGTTTCTATCTCCAGTAAACTGAACACTAAATTGATGAAGAGAAGTTCCTCATTAATTTAAAGATTGACTAGAACTGTAATGTAAATATGAAACAGATGTCTCTCACTCTTCAGGCTAAGGAAACAATAATCCAAACCTGTTGATTTGAAAATTTAGAATTTAAATCTTGGTGCTGCTACACCATGCATACAATGTGTATGTATGCATGTGTGTGTGCATATGTATGTGCATGTTTTATAGACAGATATAGAGATAGAACTATAGAGATATATCAGATATGATTTGATTTTTTAGGTCTGCAGTAGACTGATCTTCTGTATATATCTTCTTTCTTGTGTGAAACTTCTCTTGTTAGCCAATTACAGAAGGATGGGATTAAATTTCTGGGCAGTCAAAATTTGCCTGTTCTGATATGTTTGTTAAAGTAAAATATTGATAACTATTATGGACAAATCTGCTAAATGGAAGTAAAATGTATTTAAGACAACCTGAAGTTGCTATAACTACAGTGACTTTAAGAAGTAGAGAAATTATGAAGAATACCTGATTGTGTGTAATCAAAAAGTCCCTTATGCTTATAGTATCAACAAGCAAGTCATTCTTAATATCAATGGTAATCTCGCCATAAGAAACAGAACCTTCTGATGGCCAATACTGGAAACATTTTTCCTGTAAAATTTAGAAACAGAAAAAAAAATATTGCTTTCATATTTCTTGTTGATATCTAAGCTATGTCAATCATTCCTGGGATTTACAAATTAATTCAATTTTCCCCACCCATTTATATTGCACCATAATATGTACCATATAATCCATCTGCACTAGAGTAATGAAAAGAATCACACCCAGGTGGTTCTGATATCCCAATTAAGTTAACACCAAATATACAGAATTCTTACTATAAGGAAATTGCAAGTGTTAAACATCACTAATATCTGAGCATAGAACTACACTTAATTCCCACTGAATTTATTGGCATTTGATTATAACTTCCTCTGAATTATGATGACTTTTTTTGGACTTTGGCTATTATACACGGTATGACAATTAGATTTCTATATTTTCTGAAAACATGTGATTGTAAAGTAATTCAAGCTTTTGCAAATCACCTGTCTGTGATAGACAAGTGTTTGCCTCAGCAATTCAAGAGTAGCCAGTTTTGCTCCCTCGTAGGAGATTTCATGATTTATTGAACAGTTAAAATCCTGGTCAACAGCAGTCAATAGCAAATGCATCAATTGTAGTTGCACAGCCTCAGAACTGCAAAACATTCGCTAGGACAAATTTATGCTAGGCCTACATTTTATGCTAGGCCTACACTGAGGCACTACATTTTACAGATCAGTGTTAATGATATATAATGTAAAGATGAATTTTCCATACTCTTGTTCCGCTTTTTAAAATGTTAATAACAAAATATTTACAAGATACTGTACAAAATGCTCATACTTGCTCCCTTTCCAAAACTTCTGTAAGCATAACAATGGTGTGGCATTTCCACTCCCACACCATTCGCCAGAAGTCTTCCACAGTATGAGGAAGAGGTCCTTGAGTTGCAATGAAGTAGTCCTTTTGGCGATAGCCCTGGATACAAAGAAATATTTCATCCTTTGACAATTCTGTTACCTAGATTCTCCGGTTTGGAAGGAATTTTATATTAAATAGATCTATTAGAATAGATGTTTTCTTTAAATTTCTAAAGGTCCTTCCAATCCCACTCCCATTCACTCTGATCCACAAATCAAAGAAATTAGTTAAACAAATTTAGCCCAAGTCTTCACTGAGGCTTACAATGACTGAAAAGAAGACCTGTTGGAGGGTAACACCAGAGAAGACAAGGGCTTGTTAAATTAATAAATAATGAGCCTCTTTCATCTGAAAGGAGGATATGAGAGGAATACACATCACTAAACAACTCATGACTTCTAACAATAGTCTGTTGAGCTAGCCACAATGGCCAAATTTAAACAAGCCACAGTTTACAAAACACAGTGGATGGTCTCACAAATCTCAAAATCAGACAAGTGATATTATGTTTACTGCCAATGTGTGTAGCTCTTCTTTTACAGTTGACCTTTGAGAAGGAGATCAGAATCACAAAGTAGGTGGCACCAGGATAGTAAATGATTCCTCTCGCATATATTTACATGTATTTAAAATGTCAAATTCATTAAATATAGTTAATATGATCATTTCTCAGTCATGTGTTTAACAGTCTTTTGTCATTTGTCCTATTAACAATACCAAATTTTGGTGATCTCTGTGGCTTTAGTCAAAGCATTCTGGACATCACACACTTTTATGAACTTTAGAGTATGCAAGTTTGACATAACGCACCATATGAGTTCAATACTATGTAATGAACATTCATTTGTCATTGAAATGCCAAGAAAAAACACATTGTTCACCAAAATAAATAGACAGAGAAAAGTTTGACATCAGCAAAGAAAGTTATCTATTTCTATTTTCAATTAAATAAAACAAATCCTGCCATAGTAAAAAGTAAATCAAACTTGGTTCTAAGAAAAAGCAAATATGTTTGCTTCTTTATGTTGATATTTTAAATACAAGGTCTTTTTTATTGTTATTATGAGGCTCTGATTCCTTTTCTTTAAATTCACAGGTTATTAATGTACAGTAATGTTGAAGGTCATGTAACACTGCCCTTTTCTAGATGAATTTTAAACAAATATTCTGGAAAAGATGTTAACATCTCTTACAGTATGTGAATTTTCTGTACAGAAAAGTACTTACATCTATGAAGGAAGCATTGATATAATCTGTGTACTCCTGACCTCGTTTCATTGAAAGAATCACTCTGTTAAAGTCATCTAAGGCACAAAAAAGTTACATTAGATTTTGTAAAATTCTAAATATTTTATAGTCAATAATAGCATATAAATTATGGTCAGCAGGCTTTTACAAAATTAAAGTTTAGTTATATTTCAGTCTGCAGTGCCACCTGCTGTTGCTTGTAAAATATTACAATATTCTTTTAGGTAAGTGTTTGTCAATTAAATTATACAATTTGTTTGAAAATGCAATTTAATGTCTTACAAGGGATTATTTGGATAACTCTGGCTTTCTTCATATTTGCTGGCAGATTACCAGTTCTCATGTTTTCTTTCATTATTCGAACATTTGTTAATTTCTAAAACAAAAGTAAAAATTAGACAATGACTACAAATGAAAATATAAAAACTCAATATGAGAAGAACAATAACTTCAATCAAAATGTCTTACTGATATTTTCTTCTGAAAAATTCTGCTTGCTAAACCAACATATCATTTCATTTGCACGGGAACTTTGTTACATACTTCCACATAAGGAAATTTTAAAATTGTTCTACAAGCCTTATAGGAAGTTAAGTGTAAGAAAGTTAAAAGCCAGTTCGTTGTACTAGTTAAGGTACTTTGGGGAGGGGGGGGGAGAGAAAGAAAAAAATACTGGTTTTTTTTTTTTATGAAATAGCATCAGCTGAAAAATTCACACAGCTATAAGAAGTCTAGAAGACTGTTTTATTGAAATACTGTTTGTTAGTAATTTTTCCTTCATCAATACAAGTGTATTTTTTAATGGGAATACTGAATATGAGTATTTTTTCATACTTTAACACTATAAATGTACTCATGTACTCCCAATCCATTTTTTCTTTTTTAAATATTTGCTTGCATGAGGTTTTTTTTAGTTTTTTCTTTATCGTGCCACTTTCATTTTATAGTACTTAGTTTAAATAAAAAATTAAAAGCCAAGAAATAAAAAAAAACCTTTAATTTTTAAATTTTACTTAACTTTTGATATTTATGTATAAATAGCATGACAGATATTGCTAAAACTATGAAATATCTTAGGAAAGAAAATTAATGTATTAAAAAGAAGCATTGGAGTCAATTAATAAAGCACACTTGTTTTATTTTATATCAATTTTTAAACTATTTAAGGCTTACTTTAAACTCTTCTTCCAATCCTATTTTAACAAGATTTGGTGTGGTGCTATTTGATTGCTGCAGATGTTTTTCTAAGGAGGATACATCTAGTTCTGTGTCACCATAGAGGTAGTATTCAAGTAAGGCTTGATATATGAAGGAATACTGCATCTGTAAAGAAACAGAACACTCTAAATCATGATCTTTGAAATATTTTTAGTTGAATAGTATTCAGCAACATTGTTTTAAAATTAAACATATCACTTATTTTTACAATGTTTATAACCTCCCCACAGTCCAAAAATCCTTTGGATTTGGGAATAATGAAATAAAGCTGAGAATAGAACATTACAATCATATTTAGAGAGTAGAAATCAAAATATAATTCCAATTCATTACTAGTGACATTCAATTAAACCATCCTGGAACAGCACTGCTTTCATTAATTTTCAGAATGCCTCTAGAATAGGGTTATTTGTAATTCAAGGGGTAAGGTGTTTCCAACAAATGGGGCTGCCACCTAGAAGCCTGTCATCTGGCCTACAATGTATGACCTTCATGAGGAGGTGGGACTTGGAAAAGGATTTCTCTATCGGATTGAAATGGATGGGTAGATTCCATTTTCATATGATGTTGTCTGATATATTCCAGTATTATGTTGCAAAAGGTTTAAAGGTGACAATTCGCACTTTGAAGTGAGCCAGGAACCTATTGGCAACCAATGTAACAAGTATAGGATAGGTATATTATCATTGACAGGACTGAACTGTCAAGAGTATTTTTAATTGCCCTGAAGGTATGGGCCATTTCTAACCTACATATTTCTTGCACACCCACAATCCTAGTGCGCATTGGTGAAATGCACTGTCCAAATTGTTGTCTGAGTAGCTGAATTTTCTGCAAAAGTTACAAAAGAGATTAATTCAAACTTTTCAGAGGTCACTTGGTAGCCTGAAGTCTCAGATTCTACACCTGAGACTCAAAGACCGAGAGTGATACCTACTTATTGCAATATAGCATAAATGTTCTCGTAACAAAAACAAAATAAAAAAGAGGTCAGGTGATATGGTAAAAGCTGCAAAGATTTAACAAGGAAATGAATACAATCCCTCCCATCTCCCATCAGCCTTAGTCTTAGCTACAAAAAATGAACTTACACAGAAGGCTTTTGCGGCAAATATTTTTAATAAGAAAAAGTGCTGTCCTCTGACTTTTTTTTTAAAAAAAACCACCTATTTGCTATGATCAGCTAGCTGCTACTTTAGCATCATTTGAAAACAATAGATGATGATTCTTCTAAACATCAGGATATCATCATGTCAGCAGTGAGAAAATGAGATATGTGATAATCTCACTGTGGATAAATACAACTGATTTAGGGAACAAAAACACCTAACACATTTGAGACTGAATACAATATCAAATTAAGTTGCTATGTAAATTATTTCTGTTTCTCTGTCATTTTCAAAGAAAGATTTTAACAGTGAGAAGGAGAAAATGTTCACCAATAAAAATTAACCTCAATTGATTAACATGCAAAAGATTCATATTGATGTAATGTAAAGAAGGCTTCCTATAGTTACTGGAAATAATACCGTGTTTCTTCGAAAATAAACCCGCCCCAGAAAGTAAACCCCAGCTGATTTTTGAGGGGTGGGCCTAATATAAGTCCTCCCCTGAAAGTAAGCCCTACTTAAGAGCCTGCATGGACAGTCTGCCGCTGATTCCGTCTGGTTTCACCAAAGACACGAAGTGGGGGGGGGAATCTGCCAGTGCCTCTGCGATGAGGCCAAGCCGATGGGGGAGGGGGGATCTGACCCATGATACCAGTATACTGGTTCCTTACTGCTGTCTGGCTTTTTCCGTGGCCTCATGGCAGTGGCATTGGGCACGACACGCAAGGGGGCAAATGGCTGGTTTCGATGGGCCATGGCTGTTTGTAGCTTCACGCGTCGCGCCCAATGACGCTGCCATGAGGCCTGGCGGATTCCCCCCCTCTGACCCATGTGCCAGTATACCAGTTCCTTACTATCGCCGGCTTGTTCTGTGGCCTCATGCAGCGGCATTGGGCGTGAGGTGGCAAATGGCAAACGGCTCTCCGGTTTTGTTTGCCACTGGCCGCGGCCATTTCCTGCCTCAGGCATCGCGCCCAATGCCGCTACCATGAGGCCTGGTGGATCCCCCCGACCCACACAAGGCCGTAGCCAGGCCTACCATATGTTAACCCTAACCTCCCCAACCCCAACCCTAACAGGAGATGAGAAGCCCTGGGGGAAAAAAACAGAAAAACCTGGGTGGGAAAAAAACGGGTTTTTTTTTTTCCAAAGTAGTTTGGAAGCAAACGGGGAAAAAACCCTTTTTGTTCACAAGTTTTCCAGGCTTTTTCCAGGCTTTCCCATCTCTAACCCCCAATGTCTAACTCCAACTCTAACCCACACTCCACCCAGGGCAACCACAATGCACCCACACTCCACCCTGGGCGCCCACTTCACCACCCTCCCTCCCCAAGCCCCACCCCCACATGCTCGCAGCCTACTGGTACTGGCAAAAGGTAAGCCCTCCCAAAAGTAAATCCTAGTGCTTACCTCAGAGCCCAAAAGGAAGTAAGACCGGGTCTTACTTTCGGAGAAACACGGTATGTATATACTGTATGTATTATTACTTACATCCGTTTGAACCATCTGTGGACGCTGGCTGCGAATTCTTGACACAAACTCGAAAACATCAACTTTTTGTTCAGTATGCATCATGTCAATCATGGCATCTATTACTATGAATGTGCCTGTACGACCCACACCAGCACTTGGAAAAAAAAACATAGTTGCAACTAAGCAGACCACAATGGAATAATGCATCTTAAACTGCAACAATACTGTATATCTTACTTCCAAAACATTATTTCTTTGTCTTTATTATATTGCCAATAGCTGAACCAATTTCTGGACCCATTTCAGTCAGGTTTCATACAAGGGTGTTGAGGAAGTACACAATTTGGGGGTCCTCCTGGATTCATGGCTCTTGCTCAAAGAGCAGGTGGCAGTTGTGGCTAGGAGAGTCTTTGCACAACTTCGTTTTGCATTAGTTGCCTCCTGGATTAAGGCCCTGAGCATAGTCCCTAGTCATCTGTAAGCTGGATTACTGCAACATGCTCTACATGAGGCTACCCTTGAAGAGTACTTGGAAGCTGAAACTGGTGCAGAATGCAGTGGCGTGCACAGTCCTGGGAGCCTCTAGGAATGCACATATAACACCACTACTGTGCGAGCTGCATTGGTTATCAGTTTACTTTTGGATCCAGTTCAAAGTGTTGTTATCTTTAAAGCCCTACATTAAATGGGTCAAGAGTATCTGAGGAGTGTCTTTCCACAATGGGACTAGCCTGCCCCACTCACGCCAGAGAGAAGAGCCTTGCTATGGATACCATCTGCTAAGGAATTCCAGCAGGCAGGTTCAAGGAGAAGAGCCTTTTCTGCTGTGGCTCAATCCCTGTGGAACACTCTACTACCAGTAGTAAGAACTTCTCCCACCCTTTGGCCTTCCAAAAGGGTATCAAACTTTGCCAGTTGGCCTGGGGCCCTGAGGGAGGCGCTTACTGCTAGAAGTGGCTGACAGGGTAAGAAGACCGCATTTCCATCCTGTCCATCTCTTGGTTCCAGTTTCAGTATAGTTTTACAATCATAATCATAATCAGTGTACAGTTAATGTTTTAATTATTTTTTGTTTATTTTATAACTCGTAAGTCACTCAGAGTCACCTTATAGGGTGGCATAAAAAAATGAATGAATGAATGAATACCAGTTCTGTTGTTGATAACATTTGGCATCCATTTTTGTGCTCCTTGACTTCAGCAGTTCTTGATATCACTAACCACAGTACTCTTCTTAATTGGATGTGGTGAAAGCCCTTCATTTAAGTGGCTCCCAGGTGCAATTCAAGGTTCTGGTCACTGCCTATAAACCCCATCATATTATATGGCCTCATTATCTGAGGGCCTGCGAATCTCCAATAGTTTCTGCTCTCCCCCCAGGTATGTTCAAGCAGAGTGCATGTGTTCCAGGTCCCTTCCATTAAACACTGCCAACCTGTAGCACCAACGAAGTGTGCCTTTCTGCCTCTGCCTCCTCCCCCCAGAGAAACATATGGTACCCACTCTCCTGAGGTTTCATTCCCAGGTTTGGGGTCAGTGTGTTCATTGATACATTTGTAAATCCCATGTTATATTTGTATGGATGATTGTTCTGGTTGTTTTAACCCAGGCTGTTTGTTTATTTATTTATTTACTGGATTTTGTGAGCTGGTAGTTTGTTTACTTACTTACCTACTTAACTGAATTTTGTAAGCTGACCGAAATCTAATTACATATATACAGACAATCCTGCTTAACCTCCTGAACTACCACAAGAGGGAGCACAATTATCAAAGATTGCTATTTAAATTGCCATGGCAAATAATCTTCAGCCTTCTTTGAAAAGAAAAAGGCATGGCATCCTGTGCTAGGCAGGGACTTTTCCTATGTATTATATCAGTTACTTGTTTTTGCTTATGATATCATTGTAACTTCCTCTCTCCCTCTAATTCTGCCACTGCTCATTTTTTTAAAATGAGCAATTTAAAGTTTATTAATGACATGTTTTTATTTTTGAATTTTGATACAGAAACTCAGCTTCCCTTCAATGTTCTCTCTATATATTACTGAGCAGAAGACTGTGGAATATTTTACTAAAATTAGTATACAGGAGTCTATAATTTCCAAGTATTATTTTCCTGTATTTTTATATTACATCTAACCTCACTGTATCTCTTAAAGGAGCCACCAGATTTCTGTGAATGGAAAAATGGGGTAGTTCTTGTTTCTCTTTTACACACCTTCCAACATTTGTTCCATGGAGCATCCTTTGGATTAGTGTGGGCTGTTAATCCAACGCCCGGACACTGAGAAGGATAAACATTTCCCATTCCACATAGATACATACCTACAGTGAACCACTATTGGTCCAGCATGTGCAGGATTCAATGACTTGACTTTCTTTAGGAATTTAAGCATTCCAATAGGTGTAAAAGGCACTCCAAAATCAGGCCAGCTGGTGAAATGAAGCTGAGTGACAAGTCTCGGAGCTTTACAGCCATCAGAAACCTGCTGAAGGTCCAGAAACAAAATATGAACACAATCAATTACATTTTAGATTGAAGTCAACCAATAGTTTAGTTACTTGTTACTTGACTTTTTTCTTCCTCTGCAGAATACACATTAAAGAGAAAAATTAAAGCAGATACAAAATTAATCATGCACCAAAAGCATTTGTAGATGAATTATGTTCAATAAACAGATTTATTTTTTCCACACTGACATCCCAACTTGGAATATTCTCCAGGTTAAATTTGTCAGGCACCAATATTATACCCTGAGTTTAAAAAAATTGTCTGAAATTTTTACATTTTAATATACTGTCAGAACAATCATGATGCTGAATCAGACCAGTAGCCAAGCTAATACAGCTAAGTCCTCACAGTAGCAAATCAGATATCCACAGGAAACCATATGAGAGCTACAAATGTAGTATAGCAATAGCAACAACATTTAGGCTTATATACTGCCCCATAGCACTTTGCAGCACTTCCTGGGCAGTTTACAATGTAAGCATTATTTGCATACTGCCCCCAACAATCTGGGTCCTCATTTTATTGACCTTGGAAGGATGGAAAGCTGAGTCAATCTTGAGCCCTGTCAGGATCAAACTACAGGCTGTGGGCAGAATTTTCCTGCAATACTGCACTTTAACCACTGCACCACCAGGGCTCCCTGATGTATATCACATTCAATAATATTTCTACAAATTTGTCTGATTAAAGCCAATAACTTCCCACCATACAGTACAAGAGCAGGTATAAGTATCTGCCCATAGTTTTAAATTTCTATTGCATCTGATTCTATTACTCTCATTTTATTGTTTATACCATTCTGAAAAACATTATTATTGAAGAAGGCATCATTTATATTGTCATTTCTACAGGATTTCTTATGATGTCAACATAATCTGAATTTTGTAGAAAGCATTAACTCAGTACAGCCATCTATGATCAATTACATTTTTGGGGAATCATGAACTCCCAAAAGGGACTCCAAACAAGGCACTAGTAGAACATCAGGATCAAAGTATGCACAGAATTTCAAATAACATCTCAGTATGAATCCTAAAATAATATCAAGAAAATATAAGTGAAAATTAAATAAAGTTGAGTTTTTATCCTTCAACAAAAACATATAATTCTAAATATTCTTTATTCTAAAAACAGGGTGAGCAATAATTAATTATATTTTAAAGCAATAATAAGAGAAAGTGAAATACCGGCTGAATACAAAACTTTCGAATGGTGTAATCTACAAGAACTATGCAGTCCTCCACAGAAACCCGGATGCTTCCATAGGTCCAGCATCCTTGATCAGGCCAATACTGGAAACATTTGTCCTATGTAAATGTTAAAACACAAACATACCACATCAGCATTTTGTATGTTTCACCCAAACGAACAGGTTAAAAACATACAATTGTGTTGCAACTATATGGAAAAAAAAAGGGGACTAATTCTGAAATTGAAACCAAACACAACCATATATCTCTAAATTATATTCAAAATAAGATCAGGGTAAGTTGTGACATATCATAGCACTAATATTTGTTGAGATGTAACTCTATCATCAACTATGTTTGATTATTGTACAGATCCATTTCTTCAAGTCTGGGTCTATTTAGAAGATAAAAGAACTTAATATAGTTTTGAACTAAAGCTTAGAACAGAGAGGTAATTTTATGTCATCTTTCAAAAATATAGCCTACATACATCTTTTTTTCTCTCATTATGTGCCAGGAAAAGTCATTCTTGAGCAAAAAAAAAACATGCTTCATTTATCACAAATCAGAATTCATTAGCTACTGCTACTTACAGGTATATTGCAGGATACAAATTTCATATTGAATTTAATCAATGTTATTCAAATAGTAATAATGATGGTAGAAGGAAAGTTGGACCTTAAATGTGCTACTAACATTCTTTGGCGCTATGAAATTGTAAATTTTGTCTATCAAACAATGCCAGAAAATCAGACAAAGAAAAATATGTAAGGTCAAGTATTAAAATTACTGCAGTGCTGTACTGTATCAGAAAGACTGACATTTTACTGGCAAGATGATATAGGAAGTGGTTATGTTACTAATAGTTTTGTGGGCTATTGGACTGCTTCAAACCTATTGGAGGGAAATAAACTTTGAAATGTCTTACCTCTTTTCTCTCTTTCACATTTGTTAACATGACAATAGTTGCAGACTTCTGTTCCCATATCATCCTCCAGAAATCATTTACTGTATCCTGTTTAGGACCTAGATATAGAAAATAACTACTGAATTAACAGCTATACAGAATACAGAAAAGTGTTTCTCATCTTATCTACTGAGAAGAATATCAAATTCTATAAGAAATGCTCAAAGGGGTTTACAACATTCAGAAAGCCCAAGGAAAAGAAACAAATTAAAAATGCATATTAAAATTGAAATAAACTGGCCAACTGGGATTCAGATTTCACAATAAAAATGTTTCACTGTTTCCAGCAAATAAACTATCCCTCGTATTAGCAAATCTGAAAGAGAAACTCTATACTATTTTTGTTATTTTAAAATACATTCCTCCTGAAGCTTCAGGCTGAGGTATAAAGTGATAAAAAAAATTGTGCAGTGGCCCTGAATCCAAAGTTTATTCTTGCTAGTGAGGTGAATATATCACAAGTAAATTTTAATTGTAAAGACACATTCCCCCTAATCCTTCATTTCTTAGAAATATAAAGTTTAATTGGCTCAAGCAAACCAATTCCGGCTTGTGTTCCACTGCACTCTTCTTGCATTTTAACAGAAAAATGTATACATTAGCATAATTGGGCAGTTACTTTCCTATTCTCACTCAAAAAATAAAATGAAATGGAAACAGTAGAATTAAAGAGATTTTGACATCTAATGTAAATATATTTGTATAATCCTCAACAGATCATAGACCACATCAATTCCTTCAGTACATATTTTTCAATTGGAAAATTGGATTAAATACACATGCGCACACACGCAGATACACAAACACATGGATGGTGTACCAAAAGTGAGACCCCCATAGACAATTTATTATATAAATTACATTAAATATTCAAATATGTTGCCATTTTCCTATTTAACTAGGACCTTCCCCCCAAAAAGTTTACATCTTCATTGTTTTCCTGCAAACTATAACTTTGCTAAACATGGTGATGAAATTATATTTGCCATATTAATATTTAACACTAATTCAAACTTTTCATTTTTACTTTCTAATGATTCTTATTAAGTTTGATAGTGGTTAAGGAACCAGGCTAGAAACTGAGAGACCGGGGTTTAGTTTTATTTTCAACATGAAGCCAGAAAACTGCAAGAACTTGTCTCACAGTCACCTGTGAGTCAGCATTGACTTGGAAGTACATACACATACACACAAACAGTTCTCTACTAACTCTTCCTTAGTTCTGTATATCTCTAATTCTTATCCCAATGTCGTATAAAGAGTGAAGTCAAGGCAGATTGCATACTTCTCCTTTTCCTTTCATACTATGTACCACTTTTTCCTCCAGTTCAGTTCTCAGTAACTTCTTATTCAATCTAAAGATTCTTCAGAAAAACACTTACGTGTTATGGTACACTCATTAACCTTAGAATAAATAAAACCAATATTACAAAATCCTTAAATCTTACTTTAGACTAAATGTAAAAGGAAACTAAATATTTCTGAAATACTTTTGCATATGCAAAAGTACAAAATAAAAACTTTTTAAAACATTTGTCAAACAATAGAAACCAAAAAATACCTTGAGCAGCTATAAATTTATTCTTTTCCTTGTAGCCCTATGATAAAATAAAAAATATGTATGTTATTTTTACAGGAATATATAATAAAGATGCATTTAAAAACAGTCTGTAGTTATTCTGGAAAAATAAGTAATTGTATAAGAAAAGGATTTCACTTACATCTATATATGAAGCATTAATGTAGTCTGAACACTGAAATCCATCTATCTGCATTAAAGTTACTCTGGAATGATCATCTGTAAAAATGAACACTCAGTTAGAACTGTTTATTTCCAACATGGAAGAAATGTGGATAAAGCTCTAAATGTCTAATTTCTTTCTGAAAAAAAGCTAAACTAAAAAAAGTTGATACAACAATGCATGATGATTTTTTAAATATTATAGCTTCTATATGAATGATACCATGCACTCATCTTACTAAAATAATGGTTTTTAAAGCATCAGTTTAGCAATGTATCATGAATATAAATGCAAAATCTTAGAAAGTAGGAGAGAATGATTAATAGCAACATAAGTTATCATGAATTAAAATCCCATGTTGTGTTAATTTCATTGGCTACCTGTTCAATGGTGGCATTAATTTTACCTCTGCAAATGGACACAGACCAAGTAATTTAGGGACAACCTCTTTACAAATAAAGCTATGACACTCTTTTTTCTGATAATGATTCCTAGATTAGGAACATAAAAAGGTCTGATGTCCTCATACAACACTCCCCTGTTGTTGTTGTTCTAGAAATAATTAGTAGACATCAGAATTAGTAACTGATCTCATGAATGTGTCTAATCCCTTTTACAATTATTTAAGGACTCTTTCTCATACCACAAATGATGTGTTATCTCATGTCTTTAAAACAGAAGGAAAATATATGACATGAAAAGCTGCTATTCCCATAGCATTCCTTTTGATACTCTATTGAAATAAAGCCAACAACATTGGTACTCTCAAATGTTGATGGTGGGGATTATAACCTTGTAACTCTAGTGAGGAGAGAAGCTGGCATGAGGACTGGAAGTGGGAGCTCAATGTTGGGGAATCTATATTCTTCAGACTCAGTTACCCATCTGTGATACCTAGGCTGAATCACTGCACCAGCTGATGCCACCCTTCCCTACTCCCTGGCCCCTGGCCATTCTAATTGGGCATGGCTTCCAGTGTGGTCAAAAACGACTTCTTATCAATTTGGTCACTACTGAATCTGCTTTGGAAGCTCAAGAACAGAAGAAATATTATTGTTTAATACTTCTAGTAGAACCTTATCACCACCTCAGATAGTAACATCTGGTAAGACCCTCCCATAAGGGAGACAAATAAAGATAAAGCAGCTTTTTAATTCTGCCCAAATTAATATAATTAATCACATTTAAATTAATGTAAATTTGTTCACTTCTTCCACTGGATGATTTCCAGACTACCTTACAAATATTTACTTATTAATACTACTGAATTATATTTTGGATTCTAGCACTGGAATCTAATCCTCACTTTACATTTTCCTATAGGAGTATTAATTTTGTGGAAGGTTTTCCATCAGATCACAATTCCTATGAGTGAAAAAAAAAAGCTGCAGACAAGACTTGTTCTTTTCAACAGCCAAGGCAGAAATGGCCACAGAGGCACACAACTTTATGGCTGGGTGGGAGGAATGTTCCTGCAGTAGGCTATATGAAGACCTGTAAGTCACCAACCTACATCAGGTTTGTCTACACAGCACACAGACTGCTGTTTACATAGGAAGCTTTTATAGAGATGGTGATCCTAGCAGAAGTCTGGGGAAGAGGAAATGGACAGTGGTACGTCCCTCTTTCCCTTAGGTTCATAATGAAATGTATCCAAATATTTAGTGTGCTACATCAGCTAATCTTAAACATTCTTTTTAATATTTTGCCTCATACTTGGCATGAAACACTTGTGTACGGTGGTGTGACCCTTTCTATCTTTAGCTAAACCATCTGGTATAAACAAGACATTTCTTGCCTTTGGTGTGGCTTTGTTTTGGCACTGCTAACTGAAATCTGTCAAGAATAAAATAATCCTTGTGCTCTTGTCAAGGTCAGGTGGACATGTTGATATGAGATACCTATATCCCTGCATTTGGTATAAATGCCTATACATGTACACACATGATTATTTGTTTTCTATGATCTACATAAACCAATCAGAAGCTCCTCTAGAATAGAACCTCAGTGCAGACCTACCCTGAGAGGTGATGCATATTTGTCAGTTTGAAGAAGGGATCTTAGATGCTAATATAACAATCTTTGAAAGCTATATTCTATTTTTTCCCATTGTTTATCATACTGCCTTGGAATAAAACCTTGATTAGCCATTTGAGCGTGCTTATTGTTCTGAAAGTACCCATAGCCAAAGCAGGATAGCTTTAATACATTTTCCAAAGGAAAACACTCCTTTCTTGCCTGATCGCCTTGATCTTATTTCAGCCTGGACCCAAGACAGAAGCTCCTTAATGACCACAGGCCTGCTCCTTCTCTGCCGCTTGCCAGCTAAGCCTCGGCCGGTGCAGGGGGCGGAACCACGCATGCACGGCGCTCCCGGGCAGGGAAAGTCCTCGACTTACAACCGGTTGGGTAGTCCTCGACTTACGACCGGTTTAGTCCTCGACTTACGACCGGTTTAGTCCTCGACTTACGACCGGTTTAGTCCTCGACTTACGACCGGTTGGGGGTTGCGGCATTAAAAAGGTTGAGAACCACTGGTCTAGCTTTTTGGAAAAGAGGCAATTTGGCTTGCTACTATTCAGGGACTGCTTTTGACATTTTATCCCCTGCAGACAAAACCCAGTCCACCCCAGCAGCCAGGCCTTGTAAGCATCTAGAACAAAAAAAGTGGTGAAGAAGAACTGGTGGGGGCAGGGGGAGTTGAAGCTTTCCAACTAAACAATTCTGGGGCTATTTGCTGCAATGTGGGGTGGAGGGCAGGAAAAGGGCAGAGATGGGAAGGGGAGATAGGAAGGTGTGGGAAGTTGGAAGCAGCCCACTATATTACTGAAGCTTGGCACAGGAAGAGACCAAGCCTGGGATGGGATAGATACTTAGCTAATGATTGATAAAATTCACTTAGTTGCCGAGATTGTGGTTGCTAAGTAAAATAGTCGTGTGACATCTTGCTTTTCAGTCACAATGACTTATGTTGGCAATCCTGTCCCAACTATGTTCAAAAGTCCAGGACTACTTGTGTATGAATGCATACATATACAGTAGTATAGAGGCCACCTGATTCCCAACAACCCTGGGCAGCTCATAAGAAAAACAAGCAGCCAAAAATAAATCATAAAGAACATGAAGACAAAAAAATACTTTTTTGAAAACTATCTAACCATCACCCTGTCCCAAAGCCTGAGAGAACAGCTAAGCATTTAATAATTTTCCTGCATGACCTCAGGATGGAATGATCCAGATCTCTACAACTGTAGAAAGCAGAAACTCCACAGCACAGATTTCACATGGTTTCTGGGTCCCAGTAGACAAGGCCCAAGGATGGGATCCAAAGCATATTGAATGTGCCTGATATCACTGGATGGACAAAAACAACTGGAAATAGTACCACAGACAACAACCAAGCCAAACCCATGAAGGACTTTATAGCTGATAACCAGGACCTTGAGTTGTACTTGGAAGTTAATCAGTAACTAGTAAAGCTCATGAAACAGTTGGGTCACATGGGCATATTGAGGCATGCCTGTTACTACCCATGCCACTGAATTCTAAATGAACTGTAGCTTCTGAGTAATTTTCAAGGGAAAGCCTTATACAGCGTGTTACAGTAATCGAATTGTGAAATCATTAAGGCACGAATGACTATCTGAAGGACCTCCTAGTCCAGGAAAGGATACAAGCGGCACACTAGATATATCTGTGGAAGGATCCACTTAGCTGCAGCCTCCATTTGCAGGAGCTGTAAATTTAAGATGACCCTAAGATTACATACCAGTTTGATGAACACATGCAGTCCCATCCAAAACCAAAGATAGAAGATCCCCAGGCCCAGGGGGCCCAAAATCTTAGGACAGGATTTAACTTAAGTGTGTTCCTTTTCCATCCAGTTTTGCACAACCTCCACATACTGGGACAGAAGCTTGACAGCATCAACTTGCTTGTCCTGGAATTTAGATGCATTTTGGGGTATATGTACTGCACTGATGATACTTGACTCTGAACTGACCTCACACAGCATTTCTATGTATATGTAAATAAAAGAGTGGCATTTGAGATGCTGTGGACTAACTGAACTAACCATACACATAAAAGAGAGAAGCATAGCAAAACAGTGCCCCCACTCAAGCTTTGCAGCCAGTCTAAAAGAATACCATGATCACCTGTATCAAAAACCACTGAGAAATCAACAAACAGGAGGATGAATCCACTACCCCATCTAATCTTGCCACAGGTCATCAACAAGCATGACCAAAGCTTTCTCTGTGCAGTAACCTACCTGAAATGAGCCCAGACAATCTGTCTTCTCCTGGATCCTCTGGAGCTGAAGCCCCACTACCAAGTACATTTTGGTTGTCCAAGGAGTTGCAAGAGATGAAGAGCCAGAAGAGATGTTTGGAGCACTAAGGATGGAAGATTAAAAGCCGGAGACTGGGCAGAAATTGTCCAGGGCTTTGATGACTTCTTGAGAAAAGACCTGCCAGTGGAAGACCTTCCCCCTCAAAGAAGCAGGTATTGCAGGTCACCTCCTGGACCTTGACCAACCAGGAAAAATATGAATCTAACAACAGGTAGCTGAACTCAGAGTTCAGGAGATCCTGGCTACTTCTTCATCAGTCACAGCCACAAAAAATCCTATGGGACTCCACCTAAATATCTCCACTGGACCTGTACAACTAGAGTCCAACTCTGAGTAAATCTGAATGATTTTATCCACCAGATAGCAAAATGGTTCTTAAAATAGCATATCGGCCTTATTCACATTCAATCAGACTTGCTCCTAATTTTCCACCACTAGTGCTTCAGGCATTTCTTCTGGCACTTCATCAACTGCACTGCAGGAGTGATGCATAGGGAGAGACAGCAAAGGAGCAATCCAATTCAGGACCTCAGCTATCTACCTGTTCCAGCTGAACTGCAACCGTATCCTCATGGAAAACCTCAAGGTCCCTCTGTAACCTATCCAGGTCCCAGAATTTGTGAAGAATTACTTCCTTTAATTGGAAAACTCCAGTTAATTTTACAAGAAGTTTCTGGCAATTTTATTTCCTATATAATCCCCAGAAACTAATGAACTAAGTTTCTGGGCAACCAGCCAAGACTTCAGCAGCAGATTAGAATTTTTAAAAAAATGATCTTTCAAAAATGTGAAATTACCAGCTATGTGGCATGCAACAAAAGAACTTTCTAGAAAAGCAACAAAACATTCCCTTGACAGTCTAGTGCTCTTTTTATTTGTATACACTCTAAGGCAGGGGTGTCAAACTGCCAGCCCACAGGCCGGACACATCACAAGGAAACCGCGCCCACCCCATTGCCAGCAATGGGGGAAACGTTCCGATACATCACGCGACGTCACATGACGTCGCAAATTTGACATGTCTGCTCTAAGGCAATACATGATTTTATTGGCTTATATTAATATGAATGATTTCATTTAAAATATCCACTTTTAGCAAGTGAACTGGCTTGTTCATTTGCTAACACCAAAGATAAGGAAAAGCAGATATCATTAGAAACAACTTTGTAAAAGCAATATTGTAGGACAGGTTGATTAGGGAATTGATGCTAGCTAAGTCAGGAGAATGGTACTCTGATGTTTCCTCTAATTTCATAGCAACTGTAGTTATTACTTTTACACCACACTGTTGATAATTTATCTCTTATTAAATATGCAAATATATATGTATTGGCCTGGGTCAGATATATAAGTGTTATTACTTTAATTCTTTTGTTATAATCTATTACATTTTGAATTACAAGCTTCCTAAGGTAAGTATGCATGTACAGTATGTATGCATGTACCTATGTATGTATGTATCATATTTATATGGCTGCCTATTTCATGAAATGTGACTCTGAGTAGTATGCAATCAAACCATAAAATCAACTTTTTTTAAAAAAAAATGAACAAATATAAAAATAAAAATTATTATTAAAAGGCTTAGGAGAAAGCATCAGATACCACAAGCAATGGAACCACCTCATCAGATCACCATTCCCTTGTGACCCACAGGCCTGTTGACACAACCAGGATTTGAGGGACTTCTGGAAGTCCCGGTCAGCAGAGATGGGGGCAATCTCATTTTGGGAGTGAACTTTCACAGAGTAGGTGCCATAGCAGAAAAGATCCATCTCCTGGGTCCACCAGATGTTTTGGCAGAAGGGCCAAAACATACCTTTTCTTTAGGACCTCATGGGATGGGCAGATGTAATCAGTTTGCTCAAATGACCTGGCCCCCATGGCATGAAGGGTTTTAAAGGTCAAAACAGCACCTTGAATTGGACCCTGAAGCAGGCAATGCAGCAGATGGAACAGGCGTGTAACATGTGCCACTCTAGGGCACACAAAACTGCCCACTCCACCATCTTCTGTATTAGCTGAAGCTTCCTGATACTTTTCAAGGACAGCCCTATGTATTAGATAGACATTAAAATAGTATATCCAGGACACAAGTGAACATGAGCAGAACTCCCTGTTCAGGAACAGACACAACTGCAACATAACACAAAGCTGTACAAAGACTTCCTAACCACAACTGCTATCTATTCTTTGAGCAAGAGTCATGAGTCTAGGAGGACCTCCAAGATCAGCCCTGGTCTGTCTGGTGCAGTACAATGCTACCCATTACCAAAACTGACAAGCCCCATAAAAAATCAGAGCCATTCAAACTTGCCAGAGTTAAGTTGAAGCCTGTTGTTTCCCAATCAGATCCCCATAGTCTCCAGGCACTTGGATATGATATCAATAGCATTGTTTAATTTGCTTAAGGGGCAGAAATGTATAATTGGGTATTATCAGTGTACTGATAATACCTCACCCAATGGTGACAGGTAAGCTCACTCAGCAGCTTCAGGGTAGATATTGAATAGGAGCTAATAGAACAGAGGTCCCCAACCTTTTTGGTTTGGTGGTCCAGAAAGGGAGGCAGGCACCATTACGCATGCGTGCGTGAGCACAAATGTGGCCGCACAAGTGCAAGTGCCACAAATGGGGCGGCTCTAGCACCAGCGGGAAGCTCAAGACGGTGCTAGCGCCAGCAGGAAGCTCATGGCGGTGCTAGTGCTGATGGGATGCCCAGGGATGGGGCAGTGCTAGCACCGGCGGGATGCTCGGAGCGACGCTAGTGCCGGTAGGACAGTTGGGGCAGGGTGATGCTAGCACCGGCGGAATGCTCGGGACGGCGCTAGTGCGAGTGTGGGGGGTGAGTGCACGCACACATATGTGTGCACTGGCCATCCCTTCACGTGTCCCGGTGGCCAAGAGACCATGGCCCGCTAGTGGGCTACAGCCCACAGGTTGGGGATCCCTGTAAATAGAGCACTGAACCTATAGTACCTCCCATAATAAGGGTGGAGGGCAGAATTTCTCCCCCCTTCACCACCAACTGTATCTACTCCAGAGAAAGGAGAACCAAGACAACAGAGTGCTGCCCACCCCCAATCCCTAGACCTAGTACAGAAGAATATCATCAAAGGCTGCTAAGAGGTCATGGACCATTCCTGTCCAGCTCTTGCTACCTAAAAGCATGTCTAATGCTATTTTCATCCCATATTCAGACCTTAATGCTGACTAAAAGGATTGAGATGACTTATAAATATTATTAAACAAATAAATATATGCTTATACCACATTAAATTTATCAGCCTTTGCTGATAAATTTAACATGACCAGCTACCTGGTCATATTGGACTATTTAGAATTTTGAATTATATATCAGCAATACTTACAAGGTAATATGTTGGGGTATCTGTTTTTTTCTCTGTTTTCCTCTTTGTTTGCCATCTCAAGTGATCCTTGCAAATATCCAGGTGGCAATGACTATAGAAAATATAAATTGTTTGACTTAAAACAGCAACCAATAACAAAGTTGACGGTTAAAATACATTTTTATACTTTATAAAATTTTATATTACCTATATCAGAATATTAAATGTCATACATACTGTACATCCTTAAAGTCATCTCAAAAATTATTGAATGCACCAAGCAAAGAACAAACTCTATTCCTACACTAGATAGTCCTCTTTTTTTGCTGTTTTTTTCTTGTGTGATACAGACTTCTTATCTGAAAATAACTGAGGCCTTAACCACTACACAAAATTGGCTTTTCCCACTACTGAGTTAAGGAGCTACCCGTGATTCATGCAGGCTGTAGCCACTGCAACCTTTATTCTTCCTCTAAAGAAGATAATTCCAAATCACTGCTGAATGGTATTGTCCTGAGTGAAGCCAATCCAGACTTTATAGACAAGAGAGCTGACTTTATCTTCTGGCCTTGTGTCCCCAGGCGACAGGGAAAACATCAACCAATCATAACACTGAAGCCAGAATGAAGGAGGGCTGATTTCTCAACTCTGCCTGCCCTTCTTTGAAGGATTGTTTATCTGCTTCTCAGCACAGACCCCCTGTGAGAATTAGCTCACTTCATATTCAAAAATTAATATAAACTCAAAATTAATTCAATAAATTCAAAATCACACAGAAAGATACCAAAGCAGAAATATCCCTCAAAAGAAGAGAAAGATATTTCCAAGATCCTGCATCCGGTTAAGTCTTATAAAGTGGGAGAACTAAAACTGATAACTTGAAGACCTGAAACTAATAAACCAGAAATGCAATTCTGTCAGAAAATTACTGTGTATAATTTCAAATTTAATTTGCACCTAGCATACTTTTGGCCAATCCCTATATCCAGATCTGAGCAAACACACAGGCCACTCAGTATAACTAGGAGAGGCAAAGGGGGACAGGGGGAGAGGGAAGGGGGAGGAGAGTTAATTCACAGATTCTTTTTCTTCATGAGATATAATAATGGAGCTCTGCCGTCTTTCTGTTGAAGCATGGAGAGAAACTGGTAAAAAAAAACTGGGAGGATGGTTATGAAAAGGACTCAGAAAGAAAAGTGCAAATGAAAGCAGAAAATTCTGGGAGGAAAAAAAAAAGGCTGATCTGAAGCTGGATAATGATGGTAGGGTGAATTAACCTGCCCATCCCTTCCCAAATACAATTCAGATGACACCCACAATAAGTCAGATGACCTTACACATTTTGCACATCTTGAAGCTGCGGCAAGAGAGTGTTAACTTTAAACCTGAGACATCTAATTATAAATTACAGCTATTTCACTCAGCGAGAGCTTAGGATAAACTGCAGGTGAGGATCAGGTTCTATAAATACTTCTTGGTTGTTTAATGGAATAAAATGCACCCCGTAAACTACTTACTCTATTATTATATATATCTCACAGGGAGAGAATATACCTTTTGAATTACATAGGTCCAGGTTAGACAGGATAGAATTTATGTTGTATTTTTACAACTAGTAAATGTCAGTTTACAAATAAATGTATTTCTACAACTGATTTTATAAGAACTTAGGGTATTTGGATGGAGACTTACATTAATCTACTTTAACCCATTTATATTACTGGTAAACTGATCAGAATATTGATCATATACTATTTGCAATTCGAAGGAAGATCACCCTTTGGTCTTACTGCAAATACAATAACAAAAGTGGGTGTATATGGATGTTTGAAAACCCTAATAAAATAATAAGGGGAACAAAGCTTATAACTTATATAGAGAGAGCAGGGCTTTTCAACCAGTGGTACGCGTACCACCGGTGGTACTTTAGCACGTGGTAGATGGTACACAAACCCTAGCCAAGTATAGCGGGGGACGGAACGAGCTAAAGCGGCGCTGCACAGGACTGGAGGAGATCAGCTGGAGCTGCACAGCTCGACAGAAACCCCAGGATCTATGCGAGCGGCTGCATGCTGATTGGAGTTTCCGGCGCACCCGGAAGAGAAAGGGAGGAAGAGGAGGGTGGAGAGAGGAAAAGCTATAAAAGGAGCAGGTTTTGGTAGGAGGAAGAAAAAAAACACAGAGAAAGAGAGAGAAGAGGGTTTTGTTAGCAAAGTGGTGAGGAGAGAGCGTGCGGCCTTTGTGAGCAAAGTGTGAGTGACTGAAAGAGCGAGCCAGGAGCTTTTGTGAGCAAAGTGTGAATGAGTGAGAAAGCAAGTGAGAGGCTTTTGAGAGCTGAGTGAGTGAGCGAGCGAGAGGCTTTTGCAAGCAAAGTGTGAATGAGCAAAGCATGAATGAGCGAGTGAGAGAGTGAAAGGCTTTTGCAAGCAAAGAGAGAGTGAGCAAGAGAGCGAGTGATGGGCTTTTGCGAGCAAAGGGTGAGGGGGGGCTTTGTGAGTAAAGGGTGAGAAAAAAAGAGAAAAGTGAGGGGGAGAAGGGAAAAAGAAAAGGAATTGACTTCTGACTTGCTCTGTTGCAGTAGAAGGAAGCATTAACATTGAATCTCAACTTTTTACTTTTCCCTAATATTATAAACTAGCCAATTCTATAACAACAAATGAATCTAACCAGTAAAGCCCAACACCCCCCCCCCTTTTTAGTCAAGTTTTTGATACCTTGCTAAGCACTGGTGGTACTCGAATATTGTTATGTCCTAAAAGTGGTACAATCTGTGAAAAGGTTGAAAAGCCCTAATATAGAGCCCCTCTGTGAGGAAGATGGACAGTTAAGAGTTTGATTGATAAATAAATAATCCTGCTCTTTATCATCATTAGGTTTAAATCAGATGTGCACTTTGAAGAATTTTCTTTGAAAACCAGAACAGACGAGACTGTAGATTTAGTGTTTACTAGCGAATAAGGAAGTCTCTTATATAGGTTACAATCTGTTGCCACAACATAAATGTGTCATATTTGTTGCTTCAATATGTACTCTTGCTTTGGCTTTGCAATTTTTTTTCTTTAAACAGAAAACAGTCACACACACACCTCTCTCTCTAACACACACACACACCCAAACAGGAACATAAAATAAATAACTGAAAACTGACCATGAATTACTATAATATACTATATATTATTTTGATACTCTGGTTTTCCTTAATTTCACTTCAATATATTTGGCAAAAATAAAAGTAAGAAGTGAGCTTTTATGGAAGCTTTAAAAAAATTACTTTATCCTTTGAGCATTTTCTTTTCCTTTGCATAACCAAACAAATTGTGTAAAACTGGAAAACTGAACTTCCCTTTTTTATGTGAGGCAAGGGAGATTTTTTTAAAGGCTTGTTTCTATTTCAGTATTTCTCCAGAAAGTCGCTTGAGAAACAAACACAGAACAAGCATAAAATTAACTTTCACACCCATTTTAAGGATGACCATTTTCAATGTAGATTCGCATTTTCATCTTTTCCTAACGTATTTAGCCACACAACCCAATATACTCACATTAATTCAGACTTGAAAAGGCAAGTTTTAAACACGTAATCATAATTGCTGACATACAGTCCTGCCAATTACGAAGCTACACTCTAAAGGGCATGATGCCATGCCTGGCAGTTTAATTGGCAACCTTTTCACCTACATAAACTTAAAATGAATGTAAACATGTGATCATCATGGCTACATCACAGAACTGCTGAAATCAACCAGAACTGAAGGTAAGTTCACTTTTATGGAACTGGCCTTTAGAAGCCAGAGAGAGATTAGCTATCAGTTATTTTCCAGCTCCACAACCCTCTTCATGCAACCACCATGCAGCAGGAAGCAAAAAATATGTTATGAACTCTGGCTGAAGTGAGACATTATATTTAGCAAGTTTTTAATCAATCCTTCTTAACTTGGTGCCCTTGAGATTTTGGGGGCTTCACCCTCACTATTTCCAGCTTCCATGAGAGGGAGATTGAAATGGGATAGCTCTGTTATGGTTATCTCTCTTCTCCATTAGGTATCTTTAAAATGTACTTACTATCTTTTTTTTTTGTAAATAGTTCCTAGAAGAAAGCAAAAGTAGAGAGCCTATTGCCTTCCAGATGTTTAGGTCCACAACTCCTAAAATTGCTTGCTATTGGCCTCTCTGGCTAGGGCTGATGAGAGGTAGTTATCAAACGTTCTGCCACTGTAGTAAAATCTGAATGGCTTTTAAAAGGCAGAGCTTATAATTCTGGAAAGAAGCAGGATTTATAAGTATGAAAGTAGCAAAGTATAGGAGAGACTAACTAGTTTCACATAATGAGTTAACATCCCTGTTTTATTGAAATAAACCACAAAGGTTAGGTTTAAGATTTAAACCATGGTTTTCAAATCTGAATGTTTGGGTCTAAATAACACATTAAGGAAGAAGCAGTCATATTGCATTATTATTTCAGTATGAATCTTTCCTTTATCATCTGGTTTAAAATGTTTTGGAGTAGTTATGAGGTTCACATAACCCTAATTCCCAAGACTAAAACTTAAGGATTTTGTAAAATGTAACAGTTGCTGGCAGTCAGGCATCATATATAGATAGTAATAATATAGATTATTACTCATGATAATGTAAAACATCTGGAAACATGTCAGCCAATTTGCCACTTAGCTGAATAGCAGCAAGATATAGGATTGGAAATCTCATTTCCCAAAAAGGTAGAGACCCCTTAAAACTCCGATTTTGTTAATAATAGATATAATAAGAGTTTACACAGCATAGGAGCGTACAATATCTAAACAATCCCAGAGCATGAAACTGATAAATACAAAAGCAACTTTTATTGTTCATTGAAAAAAATAATTTGTTCATTTTATTTGCAATCTTTCATTTAAGAAAACCAAAATGAAGTAACAAAATAAGGCAACCCACATTAAATTCTTCCCGGAACAACTTCCCATCATCAGCTGCTCTTATCCGGATTTCATCTTCCAAGAGCTCTACTGGAATAGGAAAATACTTCCTTGGGCCAGAAGGAGACTGTCTGAGAAGCATCACTCTCTGCTGTTCTGTCAAAAGGAGATGAAAGAACACTGTATCTATGTATTTATATATCATATTTCTAAATACCCACCTCTCTCAGAGAGGGTCTCTGGGTTGTGTCCAGTCTAATCAATATATAGAAAATATATAAAATTAACATTAAAATGTGAAAATTATTTTAAGTTTATTTTTTAATTATGATTATGGCATTATAAAATTTCAAAAAAGGTTTTTAAAAAATCCAAGATGGCCACAGCATTAATTAATACAGGCAGGGGGACTCTTATGGGGCCAGCCAGCCTCACAGGTGCGTGGTCTTCTGTGCCCATCTTGGCAAGATCATAGAGCCAAGTTTTGATTCCTTTGCAGAAGGCCAGGAGAGTGGGGTGTTGCCTCACCTCTGTGGGCAGGATGTTACATAATGTAGCCGTAATGCCAGAGAAGGCTCTCTTCCTAGATCCAGCTAATCGAAATTCTTTGACTGATGGATCTGCAGTATATCTTCCATGATTGATTGAGTGGGATGGGCTGATGTAATGGGTGAAGTCAGTTCTGTAGGTAGCCTGGTGCCTATGCCAGGTGATGACCAACACCTTGAACTGCACCTGGAAACAAACTGGTACCCAGTGCAGTTCATGGAGGAAGGATGTTATATGTGCCCTTCAATGGGCACCCAATATGGCTCACGCAGCCTCATTCTGTAGCAGTTGAAGCTTTTCAGGAGTAGCCCCATATAGAGTGCATTGCAATAATCCAGTTGGCTGTATTATATGCATAGCCAAAAAGCAATGTACATTTTACTTCCATTATATACTTAAAAAAAACTTAAAATTAAGACCATATCTGTACAGCTAATATAAATGGAAAACTTCACAACAATTACTAGTTTTACTAGCTTTAGAGCCGTGGTGGCACAGTGCTTAGAATGCAGTACTGCAGGCTAACTCACTGCTCACTCCAGGAGTTCGATTCTGACCGGCTCAAGGTTGACTCAGCCTTCCATCCTTCCGAGTCCGGTAAAATGAGGACCCAGATTGTTGGGGGCAATTTGCTGACTCTGAAAACCACTTAGAGAGGGCTATAAAGCACTATGAAGTGGTATATAAGTCTAAGTGCTATTGCTATTTACAGTCTTTTCAAATCTATTTTTCTGAAAATGGATTTTAAAATGACAGACTCCAAGAATGATGTAGAAAAGGATTCTATAAGGGATTTACATCTGAAAGTGTCAATAACTAAAGAGGACATATAAATAATAAATCAGAAGAATGATTTAGAAAGTTTTCTTATTCTGGATTTACAAAAGGAATGTTTTAAAGTATGAAGCTGATAATGCAAGAAATGCATGTGTTATTGTACTGTATGAAATTAGGTGGGGGAGTTTAAAATGTGTTCAAGAGTGTTTAGCATGTACAGAAACTAACTCAATTTTCTTTGACTTTCTTCCTTTATATGTTAATTCATACTTTTTTTTTAGATTTGTTTGTTATGTTTGTCATTTAGTTCCTTATTTAAAATAATCATGAAAACTGACTCCATGAAAATTTACATATAAAATTAGTTCTACATCTAACACATATTTAAGTGGAATTCCTGAAATTATAACTTAATATAATGCAATGTTTTAAAAAAGATCTTTCTGAATCAAATTGTACTATAAATGCAAACATTAATATGAGAACAAAAATATATGAACATAATATGTGAACAAATCTTCTCTATCAATTACACCAACAACTGAATAACCAACCCTGTAAAACTTATTTGCTTCCCCTTTCAACATTACATTATAAAAAGAAGTAAATCATATACAATTAAATAAAGAAATAATTACCTTGCTCTTCTAAGATTCCATTTGGCATTTTTTTATCAGTGGAATTTACAACTGCTTTTCTGTGTCTTCGGAACCTTAATAAATATAAGAAGCATTTAGAAGACCACAGTATAGGTCTCAAGATAGTAAATAAGTAACAAAAATATTCTATATTATGGCTCACAAACCAAGTAATTCTGGAGAAGGATCTTCGAATCATTTTTTTCGAGTTATAAATGTTATATTGTAGTTGATGCACAGAAATGGTGTGTAACATCCTCCAGCCACTACACTGATTAATGTGGGAAACTACAGACAGCATAGCTGCGGCTATGCAACTTTCATTTCCTTAAGAGATCACATGGTAACAAGAAATGACTAGTTCCACATCAAGAGTCTGATTCATACATACCTGAAGAAATAGCCAGCTAAAATAATTAAAATTATGAAGACTAAAATCAGGATCAGCACTGAAGTCAGTAAATGTGATGGCTGACCATTTTCTCTTGGGGGATCTAAAAATCAAAAACAGAAATGATGAGTTGGTGCTAAATCACCAATTGATAACAAATAGAAAGTTAGTGGAACAGAAGCATACAAATTATACATTGGATTTTGTAAATGATATTCTTCTGACACTACCAGATATAAAGGAAATTTAGTTTAAATATTTTAAAGAAACTAGTTAAAGCACTGAAATATTTTGGAGCTTTTTTTCTCATTAGAACTTATATATACTGTATATATAGGTAGTCCTCGAATTATAGCCACAATCTGACCCAAAATTTCTGTTGCTAAGCAAAACGGTTAAGTAAATTTTGCCTCATTTTATGATCTTTCTTGCTCCAGTTGTTAAGTGAATAACTGCAGTTGTTAAATTAGTAACACGGTTGTTAAGTGAATCTGGTTTCCCCATTGATTTCGCAGGCCAGATGGTTGCAAAAAGGGATTACATGACCACAGGACACTGCAACCGTCATAAATGTGAACCAGCTGCCAAGTATCTGAATTTTTATCACCTGACTATGGGGATGCTGCCACTGTTGTAAGTGTGAAAAATGGTCATGTCACTTTTTTTCAGCTTCATTGTAACTATCGGGGACTATCTGTACAATGACACATATCACTCTACCTCTACTTACATTGGAGTATTACCTAATGTAATATATGTTTTCATTCATTGCAGGCCAAAAACCAAAACTGTAGCTGAGGAAATTTGAAGAAGTAGAATGTAAGGAGAACACAACAATAATTCCCAATGCCCTGTTTCTGAATAAATGAAATAAGATGTCAATTTTATCAAAACTATTAATAACCAGTTATCCTCAATCATCAAATTATTTTTAAAAATTAAATGGGAATTAATGTTTTTTTCTAGTATCATACTAAATCATGGTATATTTATCTTCTTTTCTACAAAGGATAGGAAAAGTAGATATGATACAAGACTAGACTGTAGTATAACATTTAAGCAGTTCAACATTGCGAATGATCCCTCATGAGATTAATAGCAACTCAAGAAGAAGAAAGCAAAAATGAGTTATGGCAAAAGGAATAAAAATAGTATAGTAATAACACATTTGTCACAATAATAACATGTTTTCAAAATATAGTAATACTCAGAAGATACTCTTCATGTCAAACTATGTCAAACTATATTTAAGTACAGAAGAAAATTAATTGTTTTTACCTCTGTTTATCTTTGTCTTTAGCAATCCCACAAATAATGCTAATTAGATGGATTCTGCTTAAATATGAAGTTGAAAAAAGGTTTTTGTGCATTGCCAGGTTTTTCCTGAACATGCTGATAATACCTCTCTTGCTTCTCAGAAATCTTATTTTGGCTGTAATTTTGTCAATAATCACTAATTTCACTGTTCAAGGGGATGAATCTTTCTTAAATAAGATTTACTGCGGTGAATTTCTTTATTCATTATGTCAAATTACATAAGCCATTGCAAATTATATATTAGAAACAAAACTGTGTGAAAATTGATATTATTTAATAAGGATTTTACTAACAACAAAGAACATCTTGCTCAATGAAAATGATGAAATAAAATACTTTTGATCATTTTTTTTGAACAGCATTCAAAAATATACCCATAAAAATGTTTGTAGAGTAGGGATTTTGTGAGATTTACCTCTCAGCCACAATGCTATTTCACTGAAAATCTGCTAAATGTAAATTTGAAAAAATATATATTATGCAAACTTTGCATTCATAACTTTCTCATTCCGTAGTAGGCTTTAAATGACAGTTCATTTTATACACTTCCTGTTTAAAGGTAATACAACATAAGGAAATGGTGTTCTCAAAATTACAGCTTTCAAGTCTTCGTCCCTGATCAAGATACAAAAGACAAGAATAGTAAGAAAGCAACTCTAACAAAAGGTACACTAGAAGTGCCCAGTTGAATTGGGATCCATCAGATTTAAGATTTATTATTTTGTGTGACTTCAATCAAATTAAAAGAAGCAAGAGATGAATCGAAATAAAAGTGCAAACTATATAACCGAGTGGGACATAGATAGAAAATCAAGCAAAGAGCAGAAATATGCAAACTAATTATCCTCTGAGATAGCATGAACACTTGGGTATTCCTGCAGGATAGAAACTGAAGCTGAAAGAAAAAGAGATAGCAGAAAATTGAGGTCACACAAAACAATGCTTTGTGTAGGAATGTATTCTGAGTGTAAGTAGTGCAACAATATTACATTTAATGTTCTTCATTTTAGATTTTATTTCCATGAACTACCACATTAAGATTAATCCTCTTTATTCCTAGTCTAACAGGAGTGAAAAATGTATTCTTTCCGCAACAGGCCAGTGAATAAGGAAGCATCCCAAACAGGAAATCAACAATTTCCCCAGCAATTCTTTACCAATTACTATTTTGTTAGTTACAGCAAGATAAACCAGAATAGCAAACAGATAACCCTGTCACATTCAGCATCAAGATGTTGATGTTAAAACATTTCCAGAGATAGCTTTATAAATCCAATCAAATAGAAATTGAACATTGCATTATTCCTGTTCTTAATATTTTACTGTTCCTGAAATAATTATTATACCATAGTTAACAAAATTTAGACATATGATTTTTGGGGTCTTCCAAGTATGAGTAGTTTGGAGATATGTGGTTCAAATTTGGCTACAATTTTTTACAGTTATTTGTAATTACTTTTATGGCCATTTTGTGACTGGTATGCCCTCCCTTGGTAGTTGTTTTAGGGTCTTCCACGTACCCGTGGTGATATGTTTTTCTTCTGTGCCCAAGAGGGAAAGAAGCAGAGAACTTAGATCGTAGAATAATAGGGTTAGAAGGGACCTTGGAGGTCTTCTAATCCAACCCCTTGTTCAATTAGGAGACCCCATACTATTCTGGAAAAATGGCTATAATTTCTTTTTGAAAATTTCTAGTGATGCAGCACCCACAACTTTTGGAGGCAAGCCGTTGCACTGATTAATTGTTCTCACTGTTAACTTAACTGATGCTTTTACAGCATACAATATTATCAAATATTGAAGGTTTGAAACACTTGGTGAAATATAAAGGCTCTGGATCTTGTATCAAATTACATTTAAAAGAAGTTTTTATGAGCAGTCATTGATTAGAGTTCTTTCAATTTAAAACGCTGCTAACTAGGCCACTGCAGATGATTTGCAAAAATACTCCAATTTTGCAGCAGTTCTATTCAGTTAGTGGAAATATAATCCTACTGTCTTCCATGCAACTGAAATGAAGGGTTAATAAAGCAGCACATGCTATACATCTCAAAGATGTTCAACATCTAACTAGAGGGCTGCTAATTTATATGGTAATTAGTAATAACTAGAGAGAGAAGAGAAGAACAAAAAAAATGAAATAGGTCAATAAGAATATTAAAAAAAGATTAAATAAGATATCTATTAAATAAGATATCAGTGGCATAAAGAAATAAGTCTGGAAGGTGATGTTGCTATGCATTGTTACACACTACTCAACTCCCAGCAACCTTATCTTAATTCACAAATAAACCACACAGAACAATAAAATAATGCAATGATAAAAACAAAGAACAAAATATGTCCAAACCATACAACAATCAAAGCAAATCCATTCTACCCAGAAGGTAATATACAATTGTTTAATATCAAAACCACTGGCATTCTAATGATACTAACAACTCCACAAAACTGCCTTATTCTCGAGTGCCTCTGAATGCACATCAGGTAAAGGAAGGACAGTTTTTTCTGTAGACTAGCCAGAACAATTTGACAACAGAAGACGATTAAATCTAAATGTCAAGCTGTATCAAAAGGGCAACACGATAAAACATGAGCAACAGACTCCATTTCACCCAGCATAATCTGCTGGGGTAAAAGGTCTTCCATCTATACCACCCCTGTACGAACAAGGGAGAGATTCCAGTCATTGTGAAGGTCAATATCAGAAACATTGGCTTTCAATGCGAAGTTGGCTGCTCTAACCTTAGTGAATTTAGCTATTGAACTGCGAGGCCATGTTTTCTAAGTTGACTTCAGTGACTTTTTTCAAGCTAAGTAAAAACCACCCAGGAGAGTCAGAACAGCCAAAGAGCTTTCTATTGAAATAAATTTAGTTTGTTGAAATAAGGACTCACTCCAAAGAGAACCAAGAGTTGGGAATCTTCTAGGATGCTCAGAAAATAGATGTTATTTTTCTATTGGACTGCTTCAGTGAAGATCAAATCAAATCAAATCAACCTTTATTGTCAAAGTGCAACATGTGTACAATGAGATTGGCTGAGCCTCCCTTCATGCACCCTCCCCCAACACAACTCACAGTGACAACAAACCCACCATCTTATTACACCATGTGAACTTATTGCACAATGCGCCGGCCCCGCAAATCTATCATACATGGAGTTATTTCCCATTCAGGAGTCTGACAGTCCATGGGTAGAAACTGTTCTTCAGCCTGTTGGTGTGGCTGTCTATGCTTCTATATCTCCTACCCGATGGTAGGAGAGTAAAGAAGTGCCGACCAGGGTGTGAGTCATCCCTGAGGGTTTTCCTCACTCTTCTAAGGCAGCGGGCCCTAGCGATGTCATCTAGTGGTATCAGGGGACAGCCACGATGTTTTGTGCTGTGTTCACCACCCTCTGTAGTGTCTTTCTATCCGTGGCTGTCAAGCCAGCATACCACATCATAATACAGTGTGAGAGGACGCTTTCTATAGTGGACCAGTAAAAGAAGGTCATCAGTCGTTGTTCCACTTTGTTCTTTCGCAAGACCCTAAGGAAGTGGAGTCTCTGTTGGGCCTTTCTGGCCACCTGGGTTGTGTTGATCTTTGCTAAGGTAGACTCCCAGGAATTTAAAGGAGGAAACCCCCCCCAATGTAAAGTGGGGCAGGTTCCTCTCATTTCTTCAGGAAGTCTAATACCATCTCCTTTGTCTTGCCGATGTTCAGGTGCAAGTTATTTTCTAGGTACCACGAGGATAGTTTTTATACCTCCCCCCTGTACACTGTTTTATCTCCACCTGTAATAAGACCCAATACGGTGGTATCATCTGTGAACTTAATGATCGCAGTAGATGGGTCAGACGATACACAATCATGTGTGTACAGTGAATACAGGTAGGGACTAAGCACACAGCCCTGTGGCGAGCCAGTGCAAAGCTTCAGGGAGGTGGATGTGACAGACACGATCCTCACTGTTTGTGGCCAGTCCCTCAGAAAGTCTTTGATCCAGTCACAGATGGACGGGGGGAAATTCAAGTCAGTCAGCTTTTCGATAAGGATGCTCGGTGTCGTCTGTCGACCTAGTCCCCCTATAGGCAAACTGATATTTGTCAAAGTCCGGTGGGACGCATGTCCTAAGGTGTTGGAGAACCAGTCTTTCGAAGCATTTCATCACTACAGACGTTAATGCAATAGGTCTGTAGTTGTTTAGGCAATTAATTGCTGTTTTCTTCAGGACTGGGACAATGGTGGCTAATGTCATGCTTGACATGATGGAACACAGGCCGTTTGCAGGGAGATGTTAAAGATCCTTTTCAGGACCCCTGCTAATTGATCGGCACAATTCTTTACCACTATCCCCAGCACCCCATCTGGGCCTGCAGCTTTGCTGGAATTCACAGCCTTCAATACAGCTTTCACTTGATGTTCTTATAGGGCTGTGGTGGCGAACCTATGGCATATGTGCCACAGGTGGCACGCAGAGCCCTCTCTGTGGGCACGTGCACCATCGCCCCAGTCCTAGGCCTTCAGCTGGGTTTTATAAAACCTTTTCGCTTTAGGTCTCCGCCACCATGTGCAAAAAAAAGGTTCAATGAATCAATTTCAACTTCTCGTGGGAAAAAAAAAGATCTCGCAAAGTTGTAATTGATTGATTGAACCTTTTTGTCCCATCCAGTCTACCGTTACCACCGTAGTACGCCCACGCAATTGGCCACACCCACCCAATGGGCCACGGCCACCTGACACCCGACGATACATAAGTGGGTTTTGGGTTGCAGTTTTGGCACTCGGTCTCTAAAAGGTTCGCCATCACTGTTATAGGGTGAGTGGCTGGAAATCAGAAGGCCGGCAAGCAGAGGCTGCGGGGTCTGGTCTTTTCACCCCATAGTGAGCGAAGATGTTCAACTCCTCTACCAACAAGGCATCAGCATTGACTGTGTTCCTCGTGTTGCCCTTAGGTGCTACCAGTCCCTGCCTTAGGTGCTGCAGTCCCTGCCATACTTGCTTCGGGTTGTTATCTGCTAGGTGGTTCTCCACCTTATGTGTCAACGCTGCTAATATTGAATATTCTTGCTTTGACAAAATATGCAGAACTGTCTGGTATTTTTAGAGTTAATTCAGATGAGACTGAGAGAAGGAGGGAAAAGCGCACGGAAGGGAACGGAAGTGAATCTTTGCCCTCCAGGTTAATTGGAAGATGTGAATCATGACCCCAAAATAGGGGAGGGAAAATGCTTGGAATGTTATGTGCAAAGGAAGGGAAATTCAGATCTTGGCATCCCTCCATGCCGTGCTGACACTCCGTCACACTAATAAAGGCTTTTTAGGTTAAACAATGCCTGAAAGTTCTTTGAAGTGTTTCATTGGTCAGACACATGGCATTATGTTTATATTGTTGTTTTGCCATCTTAATGCCTCTTCTAAGGTTTGCCCTGGCCTCTCTATATGTATCCCTATCCCCTGCCTCAAAGCAGAATCCCGGGCTCTCAGAAGTGTCCATACCTCTGCAGTCATCCAGGGTTTACAATTCCTGTAGACTCTGATGCACTTTTCCATTGTCACACTATCAGTGCACACTTTGATGTAAGAGAGTACGGCATCAGTGTATTCAGTGGGCATGAGATGTGTGTCAAAGCGAATCTGGGAGCTATATTATTGGGAGCTATTAAGAGCAATGGTCACATAGTTACTTTCAGCCTCTACTGCCTATAAAATACAGGATTGCGCTGGCAGGTTTACGAGCTAGGAACTTTTCATTATTCTTTCCAAAATTGCAAATGCCTGGAAGATTATTCTTAGAAATTTAAAGATGTTAGTTTGCTGGATACTAGTACTATTTATTTGATAACAATAAATATGGCTATGCCTTTTACTGAAGAACACTAGAATGATTACAGCGAATCTTTCCCCTTCAAAATGAAAGTTACTTAGGTTCACTTGAGTATGGCGCAAATCTGCATAATGGAGAACTGAGAAAGGTTCATTAGCCAATTTGAGTGGATGGAATTCAGTGTGTTTTAGAGCTTGGATTATGGAGTTTACGTAAAAATTAAATAGGAGAGGAAGAAACAGATAACCACTCTTCACTCATTTTTCATTGGGAATTAGCACCAAGAGACATCCTGGAAAGAATCTTCATAGGTTTCCATTCAATCAGAGGCTACTAGTTTGATGCAAAGCCCATCACTCAGAAGTAAGTCAAACATCACTTTAAACTGAAAACAGTAGTATATCAGCCTCCTTTTGGAGGCTGAAGTGTAGTAGAACTATGGGAATGATAAAAAATGGATCTATCTGTTCAAAAAAAATCTAGGTGACTCCTTAATCAGAATCTTATTATGAGCCAGCCACTCAAGCAATTTCAAATATAGGCATCTGGAGTACAGTTTACTAATTGTAATTAGAAAAATAACTGAGTATTAATTAGCTGGATCAAAATTAACTTTTTGGGGAATGAATTGTTATTGACTAGGGTCAATTCTTCAAGATCTAGCAAGCAGCAGGCCCACTAGTTGGAATTTACCTTTAGTAATTCAGCCGCAAACAAATCCTTTCTGAATGCCTTACTATGTTACAACTGGAGGATCAGTGAGAATGTCTGCAAAGATTATGAAAAGTCAATCTGCTTTTAGGATAGCTTTAGAAGGACTGAATCATTTAGTTCATCACTGAATGAGGAAATGCTTTGAAATGATTGATCTTTAGAAGTAATTGACCTAGATGCAACTTAACCCCTTTAGAAAAAAGTAGATTATCATGCTGAGAAGTTCATAACCATGACCATTTGGATGATCATACCAATTATAACACTGCTTCTGGGTTTTTTTAATTTTAAAATATATTTATAACTTTTTCTACAAAAATCAAATACTAATTTTTGAACTGATCATCATTATTGGCTAAATAAGCTCTGTAATATTAACTAAGCTAAATTGGCCATAACACAATCTTGATCAAACCACAACTTGAGTATGGATTAGATTCTCATATTCTTCACTGGAGCTCTAGAAATTAATATTTTCTGAATTATGAAGACTATTTGATGAAATCTAAATCATACTTCTGAGACATTCTTCCCAGTAAAGATAAACTGGCACAAGAGGGTGGCTCTAAAATAGCTAAAACATCATCATAATACTATTTCCAGCTCTTTAGACACTCTAATTTAACATAATCATTATTGAGATTAATTATTCATTGATAATAATTATTTGTAACTTTGTGTTTAAAGCACTTTTGTTCATTTTCTAATTGCATTTTATATATGCTCACACACATGATCTAAGTTGTGTATTAATACTAAATGAGATGTATTATCATTAAAAAGTCTAGTACATATCTGAATGTTTATGTTTGCTAGAAAACATGGGAGTTAAAGTCCAATAAGTTTTGAAAGAAAAATATATAAATTAACACCAGATCAATCTCCAAAACTGAATTTTTCCCTACCTGTGGTTGTTTCATTATGTGATGCAGTTCCATTGTCATGAAATGCTTCGGAATGTAGAAAATTAATGGAAATTAGCAATATTGAACAAAAATATTCCATCTTGGATCTGTCAAAAAAAACAACAAGTAATTAAATAAATCTGAAACAATATTTTAAAAATCTTAACAGAATAATTTCCCTCACATTTATTAGAGGAATTAATTTAATTTACTATTAGAATAAAAAATGTATTCTGTCTCCAGTGGTCTTTTTACTTTTGTCTAATTGCTAGTTCATTTGCCAGATCTAAAGATTTGTGTTGTTTCATGAAATTATAAGAAAGAAAAAATACTTTTTTGATGCTGCTTAGTTGATGTGTTTTCTTTAACCAACTCATTTCTCCCTTTTTGAGGATCCCATCGGTCCAACTCAAACACAACTTTCTCAGACTTCCTATCCTCTTGGTCCATTCAATCTTCCTTCATATATTTCTTTTGTGATTTGTTCCTAATCATTCTGTTTATCACCTAATCACATCAACATATTTCTTCCTTAGAATATGTCATATCCTACCCTCCATCATTCTAACAGCATTTATTCATGATAAAATTTATGTATTTTCCATCTTCACTTTTCTCTCCATTTCATTTTTTTCTGTCAAACATAATTGTTTGCTATATTAAGTATGATACTCTACGTGGCCTCATTCAATTTATGTAATATTCTCTAGAAATAATTTAAGTTATCTTGACAAAGGGATTGTCCATATAGAAAAGTATACAGATAAACCCATCTTGCTAAATTTATCACAAGCATTGCTTTTACATTTATGATACAAACATTTAATAGTCAAAAAGATGTCACAAATCCTTGTCATATTCCTTGCTCGGTTTTGGAATCTTTTACTAATCATTTTTATTTTTTGTAAACGTATACCACAAACAAGTGCACATACATCTGTAGTCTCTTTCACGTCATTATTCCATTAAGAATCTGTTTTCTTACTTCCTATTAGCATAAGTCTAAACAATTCCCTGGTACTCTGCAATTTATTCATTCTATTCCAAGCAGCATCTATATCCTTTTTCTTTACGTCCACTTTGCATTCATTCATTCTCCTGGGAAATTATTCTACTCAGTCTTTCACTTTTACTTTTTTTTTCTTATTTCTTTTTATTCCTAAATAAATACAATTTCTTCTATTTATTTGCCCCTAATGGTCTGTCTCTTATCATCCTAACTTATCATCTTTAATGAAGGATGTTTCTCTTGTGCCATTCATTAACACTCCCAATCTTTCATCATTAACAGTTAAATTGATCTACTATAATTCAATTATGGTTTCAGTTGGTTTCTCTTCTATGTATATGTATGAATAGACATGTTCTTAACTACTTAAATATCTTCCCTGGGAAATGTTCAAAAATAGTTTCGTTTCTAATTTGTTCTTGGATGGCCAATCAATTTTTGTGTACCTTCTTAGCTCTATGCCACACATTCGTTTCACCTAACTCAGTATTTTTTTCCTCTGGAATGCATATACTCAGACTGTTGCTATTTTCTCAAAACTCATTACCCCTGCTTATTGGAGCAAAACATACAACTCTCACTAATTTATCAATTCCTTCTTTCATACATATCAAAGTAATCTAATTAATGCCAAATCATATTTTGTGCTATATTTTAGCCTTTCATTCATAATTAAGTCTATACATATTTATCCTTTGCACCCCACAAAATCAGAACATTTTTAAATTTATTCTCCTCTCTCTTAGTTTCACAGGCACACTATGCATTTTTTTTATTTCTTTCATTAATTTATATTATTTAACATTTACTCCTCTGACATTCTGAGTCATAATCTTTTACATGCCATGGTTGTTATTAGCAAGACAACATAGATACTGATGCCTAACAAAACTTAAGTAAGTTTTGTCATAACATTTCTTTGTAAGATGGAGAAGGTGTAAGTTTGGTTTCTGGCTCTAGTTATACCTATGATCACTATAAGATTCCCTGATAATAATAATGACAATACTGGTGTGTACTGGCACATTTTGGTCTGCCTCCCATAATAAGCACAATCAAAAACAAATTATACCCAAGCATAATCATGCTGTTCAATGCAGGCTAGAGTCTAATATGGAGTCTATCTTGCAAAACAACATACTATTGCCTGCATCTCATTAATTAGCAATTAGAAGGCACATCCAATATGCTGACACTGATTCCATACAGGATTATGTTGCAGTTACAAATTATATTTGTTTAAGTTCATAGTAATGGTATATGCATTGTCTGTATACAATAGTTCTATACCTGTATGAATTGATCTTTATATAAACTTTATATTACTTAATTTACTTTCCAAACTATATCATACAGATACTTGCCCCGCTTTGCAAAATATAATTGGCCAACCAAATATAAGTGTGGTACATAGAGTCATTCTAGATAGGTACATTTTGTAATCCAAGACATTAATTATTGTAGCATCCAAATGCCAGTATTAATTATATGCTATTTTGGCTGAAGGAAAACATTCAATGCATATTTTAATAAGTATAAAATTAAAAAAATATGCAAATATTAAAAAAACCTAGCTCCTAGGTCTTAGAATAAACATTTGGAAACGACTGGTGATATCCTAGTCTACTATTTTGCTGAATTTTGTTAACGCCTTCCACTTTTTCTTCAACGGAATTTTCAACTATAAAGCCCTCACTTTCAGGCTGAAGTGGTACTATTCAGGTTTCTACATCATTTGATTGCAATAACAATGGCACTTAGACTTATATACCTCTTCACAATGCTTTACAGCCCTCTCTAAGCTGTTTACAGAGTCAGCATATTGCCCCCAACAATCTAGGTCCTCATTTTACCGACTTCGGAAGGGTGGAAGGCTGAGTCAACCTTGAATCGGTGAGATTCGAACTGCCGAACTGCTGGCATTCGTCAGTCAGCAGAATTAGCCTGCAGTACTGCATTCTAACCACTGCTCTACCACGGCAGTATTAATTACACTAATATAAAAAATATAGCTTAAACGAATGTGTATAGATTGAGTGATATATATTTATAGAATATTAAACCACTCAAAACTTCAACAAAATAGATGCACTATCCACTAAAATCACAGCATCTGCAGTATATGTTGAAGGAGCACGCATCCATGTTTGCATTATCCCAATCAATCAATCAGAACAGAGCTGGAAGGGACCTTGGACTGTCATAAGTCATTTTTTTTCAGTGCCACTGCAACTTTAAAAGGTCACTAAACAAACTGTTGTAAGTTGAGGACTACCTGCATCTCCACAGCCATGTAGAGAGAACCGCTTTTGTGAGAAGTAACCAAACACTAGGATTTTTATTGTATGTGTTCTTTCATACATTGCTGTATACATTTATATAGCGTTGAAAAAAGAAGAGCCTGAGATTCAGAATCAGAATAGAGCTGAAAGGAAATTTGGAAGTCTTCTAATCCAACCCCCCTGCTCAAGCAGGAGATCCTCTATACCCTTTTCAGATACAGTAGGTGGCTATCCAGTCTTTTCTTAAAAACCTCCAGTGATGAAACACCCACAACTTTTGAAGGCAAGCTGTTCCCTCAGATTAATAGTGTAGCAAACAGTGAAGCAAAGTCAATCAACAGGAAAGCCAGAACCAAAAGTGGTTGTGGATACGAATGTGATTCTTACCTTATTCAATATGCAACTTACTTATTTATTTTAACTCACGTATATGCCATTCTCTCCACCAGACTCTGGGTGACTTATAGAACCACATCAATAAACTCTAACTATAAAATCAGCATAAAATTATTCAGCCAGCCAGTCAACTAATAGCTAAAGCAAGAAATTATAATCTTCAGGGACAACAGCAGCCAACATTCCTTCAACCTATTTTCACTTAAGATTCACTTAAAAGTGAAAAGAACAAAGCCAGCATACCTACAGAGAAACCTTGCTTCTATATACTGCCATTTCTCAGTCAATCCAGGAACAGAAGATCACTAACAGATCTTCCCCTAAAGCAGTGTGTCAACCATAACAACTTAAAGTGTGGGGACTTTGAGGCCCAGAATTTCCCAGACCATTGGCAAAAGAAAGCTCAGGACTGTATAGATTGGAAACATGTAGAAGAGGCCTTTATCCTGCAGTGGATAGACAATGGCTAAAATGATGGTGATGATGCTTGAAGAAGGCAGTTCTTTTAGAAACAAAAACTGGAGTTATGTTAGGATGTATAATAATAATCTCTCTAAATGGTACCTGAAAACCTAATGGCACTCAATGGAGTCCTGGACTTAGGACCACAATTGAACCTAAAATTTCCACTGCTGAGCAAGACAGTTGTTAAGTAAATTTTGCCCCATTTTGCAATCTTTCTTGCCACCGTTGGTAAGGGAATCACTGCAGTTGTTAAGTTAATAACACAGTTAAGTGAAAGTGGCTTCCTCATTGACTTTGCTTGTCAAAAGGTCGCAAAAGATGCTCATATGACCCCGGGACACTACAACTGTCATAAATACATGCCAGTTGCCAAGAGTCCAAATTCTAATCACATGACTGTGGAGATGCTGCAATGGTCACGTGAAAAATGGTCATAAGTCACTTTTTTTCAGTGCTGTTGTATAGACACAGATAGAGGCATGGACATTTGTAACTTCAAACAGTGACTAAATGAATAGTTGTAAGTTAAAGCATACCTATACTCAAGCTGGGCATAATTCTGCTAAACTGGGACTGGCCTATTTGCAATCAGGCACTTGGAGGTCTTGAACAGACTACAAAGACACCCCACATAAAGTGCATTATAGTAATCTACGTGACATTTTTCAAAGCATATTTAAGGAATGGCTTTATTTGGTGCACCAGCCACATTTGAGCAAAAACTCTTCCCACCTGCTGCTTCACCAGGCTGGTTCCATTTGGGGAACTGTGGCCCTGTCAAAAAAAAACAAAAAACCAAAACCCTACCCCTGATATTGGGAAAGATTGAAGGCAAAAAGAGAAGGTGACAGCAGAAGATACGATGGTTCCATAGTGTCATCCACTAAATGAACATGAATTTCGGCACATTCTGGGAGACCATGGAGGACAGGACGGCCTGGCGAGCTATGGTCCA